CTTATTCATCTCTTTCCGGATCTCACTGTTCATCCAAGGTAGTGAATTTTTTCTAACCTTGGCTTTACGTAAGGGAATGTGACTGCTTGCAATAATATTATACATGCAATTCCAAGCCCAAGTGATGTCATCCAAGTCCTCAGAGGTGGAACAGACCCACCAGGGAGCACTTTCCAGGTCATGTTTGAAGTCTTTCGGGTTTTCCAACACGTTCTTGAAGTTGTGGACATATTTAATAAAAGGCTTTGGATTCCTGATCTTCAGTAGATAACGTAGATGAATTTGTGATCAGCTATGCAATACTCAATCACATCAGACTTTGAGACCTTTGAGGTATTGATAGTCAAAATCAGATCGATCAAAGTGTTAGAATGTGCTGAGGTTCTTGTGGGTGCTTTTATGATGTTACAAAAGTTATAAGATTGTAAGATGCGTTTGAATTTCGCACCATTTCCATTAGTAGCAAGCTGATCTGAATTGAAGTCACCAGCGATCACAACATTCCTGCGAGACATCCCTAAGAGCATAACATCATTATGCATATCCTCCATACTTTTCTCCATACATTTCCTATGATGCTAACAAGAAGAATTTGTTTAGCAGTCAAGAGCTTCTTTAGTTGGTGATCATTTCCTTTATTGACCTTAATGTATGATTCAGAGGTCATATTGTAGGAAGATATTAGATGCTAGTTACTCTTAGGGGTTAAAAGGTTAAGTGGTGGTGAGATTGATTTGTAATACTTAGAATGACAGAAGCAGTAAAAACACATTGAGCTTTTTCCCTATTCACCAGTAAGTTAATTAGATTTTGGATTCTACATTCAAACTGGGTGAGATTAAATTTATTCATATCATGCTTCATTATGGTTTGTTTACATGGAAAGGTAATTGTTATGATAGCTTCACAGATACTTTGGTTGCCATTGCAATGAATATTTGTAACAAAGTTTCATGTAACATAGAATGTTTCAAGAACTTTCTTCTTCTCTCTTCAATACCATTTACTATTTCTGGAACACAATTAAAGGAAGCAGGTTACTCAAAAATTTATAAATTTTGATTCAGGTAATTATATGAATATGTGAGTAACATTTGATTTTTTCACATGTAACAGGGTGAGTGAGCTGAAGATACCCTCAAAAAGGAGTGAACTCCCCTGTAACAATAAGGTGACTAATTTGGAAACTGGAGCACTTGGTAAATACACCTTGACTTGCAATTCTGATGATTAAAGTTTGCTGAGGTAATTAAAATGTCATTCCCCATGTAGGAACTTTCCACATGACCTGTACAGTCATATGCTAAGAGATAACTTTAGAAAAATGTATTTGTGTTGGTAGAACTATTGTAAGTACAGTACCACCTAGTGACAATAATTAATGATTTCTTGTAAGCAGGTACATTTGGGAGAAGGTATGGTTGTAATTGACCCTTTCTTTGCTAGGATGCTTAGGGTCTGCTGATTGTAATGTATATCTTTAAGCTTTCAAACTTTCAACTTTGTGTTAATTGTAACTGTTTGCCAATTATCTATTTCTCTGTACCTTAAGCCCTCAAAGTTGAAGCAGGTGAGTCAATAACCTGACTTCCTTTGTTTGGAATTGTGTGATTACATAATTTTGCTGTGTAAGTTACCACATTGTAAAATGTAACATTATTATTTAGATTACATTAAATACTCTTGCTCAAGCTTTCATTAATGTATGGTACTTCTTACTAATGCTCATTCCCAAACTAAACATTGATATATAGAATTAATCACAAGATATGTGAGTTTTGAAGGGTTGGAATCTGGAAAGGCAAGGATCCTCCTTTAATTAGGACTGAAATTACTGGGGGCCCCTCCTTTTTTAATTCATGTTTTTACTTTTACCTGCCTCCATAATGTTTAGGGCACATAGATAAAGAGAATGTTGTTTGTATTTTAATACACAAAAGTTAAATTAATTGGCATCCATATAGTGCGCAAAGCAAGAATATAAATGCCTTAGCTTTATAGGTTAAAAAATAAAAATAGGATAGTTATGCAGAGTATATCTTACTTTTTAGCCTCCACTGTATATTTATTCAAATAACACAGTCAATATCAGTCTCATTCACTCTCACTTTCCACTGAGCTTGTGGAAAGATGATAACCTCAGTATTTCTTTAAATGAAGAGAGGAGAGCATGCCCTCTTACCACAGATAGTTCTTTTGTGCATTATCATTACAAACCTGGCCTCGGTTGTTTGAAGGTTGGATAGCACTATCCACTGGATAAAGCTCTATCCCATGGATAACACTATACATTTTGCTATCACTTATCCACTGGATAGCAATTTATTGGTTGGATAGTGTTATCGGCCCTTTATACAACTATGCCCTGGTCTAATTTGTACACAAAGGTGATTGTTCAGGGTAGGCTAACCTGATAAATTAGTTGTGAACATTTTCTTAGCCTGTCGTTGTTTGAATATTTGACTCAATTTTACCACACTAACCTAAACTGAATAAATAGATACTTGAAATTTATTTGTTATCCTTTTGAGGTGTGCATCAAAACTTTGAATTCATCAGAGGTTTACAGGAAATCTGCATGTGGCTGTTTTTTCAACATATAAAACTGGGATTATGACTACTTTGAATGACTTTACTACCTGTTGTACAGGTACAGGCGGGTGTTGTAAAAATGTTTGGTTCACTTTTTCATTAGTACACATTTCTTTTTCCAGGAATTTTAATTATTCTGCCTATGCTGAATTCTAATTTTTCAACCAAATTTCTTTTCTTTTGAATATTCTTAGATTTCCAACCATTAGTTAATATTCATGTAATTAAAATAATTACATGGATTGAACTCTTACAGATGAATGGCACATTATTTTTTCCCCTGATCCTAATGATATTTTGTTGTGTAGGGATTGATATTGGCTATAAAAGTATAGTCATAGTAAGGTTTTGTTCAAACCTATGCATCAAATTTTTGTAATAAAATATTATATCTCTTCATCTAGTTTCCAGGTTTGAAAAAAGTCACTGCCCATTAAAATCCTCTGTTCCTTTGTCCTGACAGCCCAACCTCGGGGAAACATTGCCAACAGGAGAGGACAAGAGAGCCTATTCCCATATACACCCTCCTCAATCCTGTTAGCTTATTATGGACATGGCATGTCAAACATGGTGTATATGCCACAAATTTTCCATTCCCCTGACTAATTATTTTGTAATAGTGTTTACAACTTGTGGAAAATGGTTGGGTTGAAATGTAATACAAAGACTTACCAGGAGATAGTGAAATGAAAGCTTTTGACATATCAATAACATTTATTGTTGTGTTTCATGTTAACATGTTGCAACAACTCTACCTTCCAGTAAATTCAATTAATGGCAAACATGACAAAATACCATCTAAAACTTTTCAACCTATTTAATATAGCCAATAACAACATCAACTCTACTTTTAAACTAAAGAGAAAACTTGATTGACGTTTGGAATTGACTTCGGTGATGGAAAAATTAAATCCAGCTAGTATCTCAAGTTTTCTTAAAGACACCCACATTGTATGCAGTTACAGCAGAGATTACCGAAACGCTAGGGGAAAACGGTTGGGCAAGCAGTCATACCTGGCAACTTCAAGAGAAGATGTAAGAGAAGCCCATACGATTCTGGCGTATTGTTTTACTGAATCACTGTTCTCATTCCTCAATCGACCAGTAATGTCTCAATGCAAAGTAGTTTACCGTCGTTTCTTTCGTTTTTGGCTCAATTTCCCAAACCGAAATTATAAGTAATGCTCAAAAGAATGTAATTTTAACTGATAATGACATCATACACTTCATCTGAAGAAGAAAACATTCCCTATCTTCGAAAATTTGCTCAAAACATCAGGAACAACAACAAGCTTCCTAAGCTGTTTGAAGATAACGCTGACTAGTATGCGTGTTTATCGCCTTCAAGTTGTGTGAACATCGTCACCAGGTTCCAGACCTCCTCAATTGTTCCCAATTCCCCATCCCCCGGACTGGTCTCTAAATCCCTTGGAAGAAACTCTTCTACAGCCAGTGCTGAAGAGCTTTATTTCAGTTGTTATTCGGAATAATAAAGGGCTAAAAATAAATTAACACGAGCTCCGCTTTTAGGCTTGGCTAATTCTATATATTGTAAGTGATAGAGATAAACAACAACATCAAAGTGAATTCATTCTCCATTTTTCGGGTAAATTTGCAATTTAGCGTCCGATTTCAAATGTATACTCTGCTTTAAAGATATAGGAAAAGACTGTGAGCGGTTTTTGGATAAGGTTAGAAAAGGTCGATGTTCGATTCCCATCGCGCTTACGAAACTTCATTTCAACGTCCACGCGGTTTCTGCTTGCATTTATAACCAGCGCCACGGTCGTCAAAAAATGTTGGATCATTTGCAGCAGAATCTCAAGTTTTTACAGATTTTTTAAGAGGTGGTTACGCTACAAGGGTCATTCAACTGGTTGACAAGCTGCCCAAAAACCGTCTGTAATTAATTTTAATCCTAGACAAAAAGTACCTTGAAAGTTAAAACGTGAGGTATTTGACTACAATTGAAATAATAGACGGAACTTTCATTTATTTAATATCTGTATTCTCTCAAACAATTTATTCGTAATAAAAGGGTGAGCGAAGTTTTCAGTTCTCCTATAAAGATACTTTCGGTGAGTCTTTCCAGGCCCGTTCAATTTGGACATTTGCACCAGTAATTGCACGACAGAAACTGAAGGAATTCATAAAAAAAAACCCGCATAAAATTCCCTTATGTCTAGTTGAAGTGTCTCGTTCGAATTTAGTTTTTGTGAAGGAAAGACCAGATTTACATATGCCATTGCAGTAAACAAACAAGCAAATTCTCACAACTTCAAAATAAAAAATGTGTTTTTACTTACAATTACTTTCCTTGTCATTTACTTACTGAACAAAGGTAGATCTTCGTACATTAATTAATCGTCTACTAGAGTGAATAATACTTTCCGAAAGATCGTTGAATATTTTTGAAGAAAACATTATTGTGACAGTCCTTGTCGAACTAGTTCCGTTGTTTTTTCAAAAGTGTACTTGCGCTTTTTTTCTCTTACGCTCTCTCTAATTGACAGATACTTGTAAAAACAATGTTTCAAAGTTTGTTTATGCAACTGAAAATGTTTTGATGAACCTCTCTCTTTAATTTGTATTACCTCTATTTTAACAACCATTAACTCGCTCAAAAAATTGTTCAGGTTATGGGAGATCTTGCCTTAATTACAGCCCTAAATCATTCGGGTTCATTTGGAGAGAATTTCGTTGAGTTTAAGAAATAAAATATTATTTTTGTTTCTGCTTACATTTGTAAACAGTGCCACGGTCGTCGAAAAAAGTTTAATCATTGCAGCAGAATCTCAAGTTTTTACAGATTTCTTTAAGAAATAGTTACGCTGCAAGCAACAAAAGAAAGAGCTACCCTTCTCTCAATCGAAGGTATCGCTGCAAGAATCTACTAACTTCAATTTAATAGCTTTGCAGCGCCGTTCGCAAAGAAACCGAAAGTTGAAGGGCCTCTTGGCCCAAGTACATTAAGATAGTGCACCTGGTCTCCTGTGAGAGCTTTAACGGGCGGCACAGTAAATATAGTAACCGGTTTCATCTAAAAAAGAAAGGCGATCGATTACCGGCGCTGTTTGATATATTGAAGATTTTCCAAAGCCAGTCAAACGGAGACATTGTAACCTTTCGAAAAACATATCTACGGCTTTCTGCTGTTCTTCTTGAAATGTTTCTATCCCAAAAGTCGAGCAAACTTGCCTTAAAAACCTCGTCGTGGATACCTGTTGTCTGAAAAGTTGACCATGAAAGCGTTTTGTTCACCAGTTCGTTAGTATGGAAATAAATTACCAAGCAAAAGAGGTTAACCAATAAAACGTCATTATATATTTTCTTGAATAAGAGTGACGTCACGGAACATGAGTAGTGTCAGGTTTGCGTAGACGTTGCCTCGCTTTCGCTTCACCTTAGGGGGGAAGGGTATGGCTACACGTAGGCAAGCAGATATTGTTTTTTGTCTCCTTCATTTCACTGCTTGACTAAGCTCCCTTTTTAAGTTAACGTGTTGTTGAAATTCTCTTTCCACCCTTCTTCTCTAATATTTAAGTGAGTTTATTTTACTTTTAAGACCTTTAACATATATCGATGGTGGGACTCATCTGCCATATAATAAGCAATGTTTTAAGAATCACATTTCAGTAGTGCGTTCATGATCAGTACTTCGGCTTGTGTTTTCCTTTCCTCCAGTCCTGGGTTCCGGTGTATCATTACACCAAATCACTCTCTTGATGTTCTGTCTGAACTGTTGGTTCAAGAGGGCATACACGAATGGGTTGACTGCTGAATTGAACAACACCATCATATCAACAGCTGCAATATGTTCAAAGCTGATTTTGAGAGTTGAAAGAGTCCTCAAGACGTATTCAATTGATTCTGCTCCCCAGGAAACTGCAAAGATGATACTGACTGCTATAGCCATCAAGGTAACACGTTTCCGAACCTTTAAGACGCCCTGTGAATTGTGAGAAGGAAAAGGTCTCAATGAGCTAAGATAATGTAGTGAAGAATGTCGTTAAACTCATTATGAGAAAAGCGACACTTCTTCATTACAAGGATATATACCCTTTTCTTAAAGATATTCTTTGAGAGGAGACTTTTTCAACTAAAGGTTCACTTGTCATTTAGATAGGATTCTTTCTAATTTTAGCCATAGTGACAGCAAAATTGTTTCCCTAAGTCTTCCTGTGTTTAATTTCCCCCTATTTAAACACTAACTTTTTGCTGATAGTTGATTCCTTTGTTTCCATTGCGTTTGAACCACAATGTGCACGCAACAATAGAATAAAGGACAACCATAATTCCCACGGAAACGACAACCAAAACCAACCACGCCAAACAATAAGCCGTGGACATCCACCTCTCAGGCCAATTCTGAACACAGTTTTTGCTGGTCTTCTCCTTGTCGAAGGTCCTAGCTAAGAACAATGGTATGTTGAAAAATGCTGAGAACACCCAAGCGCCAAGAACTATTATCTGAAAAAGAAAGTTAAAAGAGAGGTTACCAAATTTTGTGAAATTTTATGCGCACAATGACTATCGTGAGTTCAGAGTTCTTCTAAGCTCTTTAGCAAGTGATTGGCAGTTAGATGGACCGGTGGCTAAATTGATGGATGACTGCGCCTTGTCGGACAAATTGCGCATTTTGAATAGGATTGGAAGATTTTGGGCATTTTGAAGAGTCCGTTGGTTTTTTAGGGTTGATGCATAGACTTGCCTTCAGTTTGCGCCGTGAAAGATTCTTTTCTCTGGCAATGGGATATAATACTGAGTAATATCTTTCAAAGGCAATTGCAACCAAAGTGACAACTGACGAAACTCCTGCAACCCAGGCTATATTTCCACCTGTCAAAAGCTTGCAAAGTACCACACCTGCCAATCCGTCCGGGTGACTCATGTTGAAGCTGACGATAATCTTTGGTGCGATGAACAATGCGAATAGGATATCAGATATGGCCAGATTCAGAAGTAAATAATTTATGGGATTTCTGTATTTAGAGAAGAAAAATCCAAATTATAAATGATCTAAAGCAGAACTCAGAAACACTCGGACGAGGAAGAAACAAATCCGTAAAGAATGTTTCTCATACTTTGTGCGAAGATATCGTTTTATGATTAAACAAACAAGTGTATTGCCCACAACGTCCACAACAATGAGTATCAATAGCACAGCCGTTATTGCAGCACCAGACGAATCAGTCATGATTGGTTACCGCTGATCACCAGAACTGAGGAGGCAAAGAGAAAGGTATTTAAACGGAGTCAAAGCAACAATTTTCAAATGTGGCTCGCCCACTATAATCCTGTAAGCTTCGTATTTATTTATAACTCCACAGAGCTTTAGATATAAAGGAAATCATGATTTTGTATATCATATAAACTTTTTCAGTTTTTCAGCAATTCATACAGTTAAATTTGAGAAATAACTTTTTAGACTAAATAATGATTTTAATGAAAAGTCGGTCTTTTTTAGCACTGTTCGTTTTGTGATCACTTCAATATAATATTGATTCCTATATAGAAATAAAGCTGATTAAATAACAAACAGCGGAAGTCGAAACAGTACTTTATATATCTTAAAGTTTCAGTTAATTACTGAAATAATATTACTTTTGTAATCATGGTGAGCATGACATAAAAAGAAAAACAGAATATAATCAAAACAAAGTAAGTGTTGTATCAATGAATTGTTCTTCCTCTAGCATTTACGTATATCCGCCAACTTTTGTTCAACAATAGCTACATCATTCCAAGTCGCTTTAAGAGTTCTCTCAAACTTTGACGACGTCCTTGTCCCCCCCTCCTGATCACAGCGTATGACCAGCTGTTAACTCTCCCCACTGATGACACGACACATCACAAGACGAAAGAATGTCCAATTATCTTTTCTTGTACATTAGTAATGTAAAAATTATTATTAACATATTTTATTCTTTGTTTTGCTATACTTTTTGATCTGATTTTTGAAAGCCAATTGAAATAGACCAAGAACAAACCTCGGTCCGCTTGCCACCACAAAGATCATTCTTTATAAGACCATAAACAAATTAAATACGTTATCAATTCCTGCTTTTTTAATTAGAGGTCAATTGTGGTTTGACTTCAGGAGTAATGCGACAGAGCTTGTTTTGTATTCCTGTATAAATAATTAAACTACTTCGATGGATTTTGTTTAAAGACTTTGGGATTTGTTGAAAAAAAACCTGAACCGCATCATCTTTCAAAAGAAAAAAAACAAAAATCTTGTCTCGTGACGGACAAGTCTCGAAAGTTCCGGTGAGTTGTCGCACGTAGATCAAGTTTTATATCAAAATAGTTATCCATTATAACGAATTAATGCTTCGTTGAGTTTTTTTTGGAGTGAAGTAGAAAGCGTAACTACCCTCACTGGAAACAAAGAGTCGCCCTTCCTTATGGTATACACTAAGAAATTATTTAAATATCTTTAAATAAGCAGATTCCTTGAGTTAATTCCTTGCTCTATCTACTGCTACAAACCAAACAAAACTTTTTTTCTAAAAATTGTCACGAGCTGTATAAGGATTAATCAGAGCCATCCCGGAGGATTCAAATTCTAGCCTAGTTATGTAACTTAAAGAATTCGCAGTCGATTGCTTTCTCGAAGAAGAAACAGAAAGTTCTGTGCGGAGTAAGAAAGATGATAAGGGTATTTCAGTTAAAAGCGTTTCCTGTCCATTGTCTTCTCAGCCTGAACATAAATAACATGATTTCAGACACTGTGTATTGGCCACGGATGGACCTGAGTGGTTTAATTCCAATAATATCTTGGGGAGAATAACTGAGCTCGAAAGACGACATAACTCTACGTTACAATCTTACCTTTCTGCGGCTTTGGTTTATATGAGAGGTTGTCTCCGTTGCGGCGTGACAGTTCTATGAATCCTTGGGCTTTGGATTGGCTATTAATAGAAATAGAATTTAACGGTATAACGTGCCTATGCAAGTCACTCAAAGGGAATGTAGTAACGGAAGATGAAAGGGCTGCAGTTATTTTCTATTTCAGCGTACATAAACTTTTCAACTAAAAAGGGAAGTGCTGCCTCTTGCAGGAAAAAAAATTAAGCGGAGGTTTATTAACAGTTTCAGCTTAAAATAGCACTTACGCAGACGCCTACTTTGTGACCTCGAAAACGTGATCACAGTCGATGGAATTTCCGTATGAAATTTAGCTCTTGCCCGTCAGAAAACTCCGCAATTTTGTTGATGCTGTCCGGGATTGTAACAAATACGATCCAAATTAGTTAAATTTTCGTATCGCACCTCATTAATGAAGCTTTTAAGCCGGCACATCATCGGCCCTTGTACCATTGCTAAAAATCGGACATTGAAATTTGAAATTCCAGCTGTAAACAGGAAGTTTGACGTACCGAACTAGCCATGTAATTACGCGCTTATCACGAACAGTTGCAGAATACAATGTCATGCTTTAACTAAATCCATCCTTCACAGTCAGAACCAATAGCAAACAATCCAAAAGAATGTTAGAAAAAAAATGATGAAACCAATCGCTCTCGATGAAAATTAACTCCTGAGAAAGTTTCTACGCGATTTTTTAAGACCTGAAATCGATAACCGATTATGCTGCTTTGTAAATCCACAGTCTGACTCAAAAACTTCCTTTTCCTTATTGACAATAAGACGAACCTAGCTAGCGCGCTCACCAACAAGTTTTGTAATTATAGAAGTCTACTGCATGCAATAAACAATAATATTATTGCTTCTAAAACAGAAAACAAATGAATGAATTCTCAACGTTGATTCTCCATTGGCACTGATAAGTATTAAGATATTTATCAATATACCACTTACCGAACCTTGCTTTCAAGTTCACTGACAAACCTGCTAAGCAATCGCGTTTACTTCTTTGGTAGGGCCTCAGCAGATCTATGCAATATGACACCGGAAATTTAAATATCCAGACACCGTTATGACAAGCTCAATATTTGGCACTTCCCTTCTTCAAGAAATTACTTATTGACTTAATGAAATGATCTATATCAACTTAAATTAGAGAAAAACAAAAGGCAATTAAAGAAAATAAATAAGAAAGTAGGAAAAACGTAGAAATCTTAATGTCGTCGTAAATACTGAGAGCGGGAAAGAGATAGCGTCGGGACGAAATTAATTAGCTGTTGCGATAAATTATTTTGAAAGATTATCACAAAAAAGTTCAAACCTTTCCAAGAACGGAATTTCAAAGATTTATTTCTTTATGGATACGACATACAAAGATGTCTAGCCGAAGGAAGTTGTCGGGCAACAGTTTTATATAGTGAAAAATTATTCCATCTGGCTGTAAATCTGAATTCTTATTATTGTTGTTGTGTTTTTTCCCAGCTCCTAATGCGGATTTTCGGCTTTGTCAGTCTTGTTGTTTGAACAGAGTCGGCGATGTTTGATAGTTATTCTACACAGTTTGATTTACACTGCTCATGTATGTGCATCGACTCCATTTTTGAGCACTTAAAGTTGCGTGAACGGTAGTTCACAATTTCGTTACTTGTAACGCATTTTCTTTATTTGAGTAAGTCGCCCTTTTGAAGTAATTATAGGGTTTGTTTTTTTTGCCTTCAAATAACAATTAATGTCGCCATTAGCTCACTGAAGCAGTTTCTATGGTTTGGTCGACCCGGTTTCTCGAGCATTTGAAGAAGCACATCATTTCTTTAGTTTTCTCTCTGATCTGTCTGTTTAACAATGCATACACAAACGGATTGACAGCGGAGTTGAACGACACCATTATGAAAGAAACGGAGATTAAGACAGGACTGTTAGGATGTAAATTTCCTTGAAAACAGAGATAACTGACATGAAAAATGTGGTGGCACATTACATTTTTCCGGGATTATGACATGGCAAAGAAAAAAAAGGTATTTAAACAGGGTCAAAGCAACAATTTTCAAAAGTGGCTTGCCTACTTTAATCCTGTAAGCTTCAAGTTTATTTACAACTCCACAGGGATTTAGATGTAAAGAAAAACGTGATTTGGTATATCATATATACTTTTTCAGTTTTTCAGCAATTCATACAGTTAAATTTGAAAAATAACTTTTTACACTAAACAATGATTTTAATGAAAAATGTTAAAGAAAACTTACTTGTTTAGGTTTTTCCGGTCTTCTTAGCACTGTTTGTTTTGTGATCACCTCAATATTGATTCATATAGAAATCAAGCTGGTTTAAATAATAAACAGCGGAAGTTTTAAAAGATCGCCGAATTAGTCATAACCAGTTTTACATTGTTATACACAAACCATTGATCGCAATCTTTCAGTTTCTGGACCATTTTCCATTTCACTGAATAATAATATCGAACACTACCAAAAAACAGATCTTCAAAAATGGAGAGTATCGTATCTTGAGCACTACGTCAACAGTACTTTACGTTTTATATCTTTACGTTTCAGTTAATTACTGAAATGATATTAGTTTTATAATCATCATGAGCATAATGACGTAAAAAAAGACAGCAGAAAATAATTAAGACAACGGAAGTGTTGTACCGAAGGATTGTTCTTCCTATAGCATTTACTTATATCCGCCAACTTTTGTTCAACAATAGCAAAATGAACCCAAGTCGCGTTAAGATGTTCTCTCAAACTTTGACGACCATGCCCCCCCCATCTCTGATCACCGCGTGTGACCAGCTGTTAACTCTCCCCACTGACACATCACAAGACGAAAGAATGTCCCATTATCATCCCTTGTACATCAGTAATTTAAAATTATTATTATTAACATATTCTGTTCTTTGTTTAGCTATAATTTGGCTTTCGAAAGCAAATTGAAATAGACTAAGAACAAACTCTACTCTACTTGCAACCACAAAGACATTTCATTATAAGACCATAAACAAATTAATTACGTTATCAATTCCTGGTTTGTCTTGCCAGAGCATTTTTAATTTGAGTTCAGTTGTGTTTTGACTTCAGGAGTATTGGGACAGAGCTTGTTTGGTGTTCCTGTTCAAAGAATTAAACAACTTCGATGAATTCTGTTTGGATATGTCGAAAACGACTAAATTACATCATCCTTCAGAAGAAAAAAAACAAAAAACATTAATTGTCTTGTAAGGGACAAGTCTCGAAGGGGCCGATGAGCTGTTACACAAAGATCAATTATTATGTCGAAAGAGTTATCCTTTAGAACGAATTAATGCTTCGGTGAGTTTCTTTGGAGTGAATCAGAAGGCGTAACTACTATCACTGAAAAGAAAGAGTCGCCCTTCCTTATGGTATACACTATGAAATTGTTTAAGTATCTTCAAACAAGCAGATTCCTTGAGTTAATTGGTTACTTTATCTACGGCTACAAACCAAACAAAACTTTGTCTAAAATTGTCACGAGTTGTATACGGGTTAATCAGAGCCATCCTATAGGATTTGAATTCTAGCCAAGTTTTGCATGAATTCGCGGTTCATTGCTTTCCGAAAAAGAAACAGAAAATTCTGTGCGGAGTAAGATGTTATGTGTATTTCAGTTAAAAGCGTTTCCTGTCCACCGTCTTCTCAGCCTGAATATAAATAACATGATTTCAGACACAGTGTGTATTGGCCACGGATGGTCCCAGGTGGTTAAATTCCAATAATATCTTGGGGAGACTGACTGAGCTCCAAAGGCAACCTAAATCTTGCATTACAATCTTACCTTTCTGCGGCTTTGGTTTATATAAGAGGTTGTCTCCGTTGGGGCGTGACAGTTCTATGAATCTTTGGGTTTGTATTAGTATTAGTTTGTATTAGAAATAACATTTTTCGGTAAATCGTAAATATGAAAGTCACTCAGCGGGAAGGTAGTCACAGAATATCAATAGGCTGCAGTTATTTTCTGTTTCAGCGTACATAAACTTTTCAGCTAAAGTGAAGTGCCTCCTCTTACAGGAAAAAAAGGTGAAGCGGAGATTTATTAACAGTTTAAACTAAAAACATGACTTACACAGACACTTGCTTCGTGACCTCGAAAAAGTGATCACAGTCGGTGGAATTTCCGCGTGAAATTTAGCTCTCGCCCGTCAGAAAACTCTGCAATTTTGTTGATGCTGTCCGGGATTATGACATGTGTGATCCAAATTCGTAACATTTTCATATCGCATTTCATTAATGAAGCTTTTAAGCCGGCACAGCTCTAGTACCGTTGCTTACAAATCGAACATTAAATTTTCCACTTTTACTTGTAAACAGGAAGTTTGACAGACCGAACTATCAATATAATTACGCACTTATCACGAACAGCTGCAGAATATATTTTCATGCTTCAACTAAATCCATCCTTTGCAGTCAGAACCAACAGCAAAGAGTACAAAAGAATATAGGAAAATTAAATTAACATGATACAAACCAATCGTTCTCGATGGATTTAACTCTTGAGAGAGTTAAGACCCTTTAACTGATAATCGATTAGGCCGCTCTTTAAATCCACAGACTGACTCAAAAACTTCCTTCTCTTTATTGACAATAAGACGAACCTGGTTAGCGAGGTTATCGACGATTTAATTTAACACCACTATAGAAGCCTACTGCCGGCCATAAACAATTGTATTACTGCTTCTCGAAAAGAAAAACAATTGAATGAGTTCTATACGTTGATTCCCAACCGGCACTGATTACCGAACCTTGCTTTCTGCGCCACTGACTAATTAACGTGCACAGCAATCGCGTTTACTCCTCTGGTAAGGCTTCAGCAGGTCTATGCAATATGACACCAGAAACTGAAGTATCGGACAACGTAATGACAAGCTCAATATTTCGCATTTCCCTTTTCCAGGGAATAACTAATTGACTTAACGAAATGATCGAAGTGAGACTACTATAGTTATCGTTATCAAGGTAAATTAGAGAAAAACAAAAGACGTTTGAAGAAAATAAACAAGAAAGAAGAAAATTTTAGAAATCTTACTCTCGTCGTAAATGCTGAGAGCGAGGAAGAGATAGCGTCGGAACGAAACTAATTCGCTATTCCGATATATTATTTAAAGGATTATCATAACAAAACGGTTAAACCATTCCAAGAGCGGAACTTCAAAGATTTATTTTCTTTATGCATACTACACGCGAAGATGGCTAGGCGGAGGGAGCTGTTTGGTAACAATTAGTTGATGAAAATTATTAATTATTGTTAATCTGAATTCTTATTATTGTTGTTGTGTTTTTTTTACCAGCTCCTAGTGTGGATTTTCGACTTTGTCAGTCTTACAGTTCCAACAGAGTCGGCGATGTTTGATGGTTACACTACACCGTTTCATTCATATTGCTCATGTATGTGCATCGACTCCATCTTTAAGCACTTAAAGTTGAGTGAGCAGTAGTTCACAATTTCGTTACTTGTAATGCATTTTCTTTATTTGAGTAAATCGCCGTTTTGAAGTAATTATAGTGTTTTTTATTTTTAGCCTTCAACTCGTGTCGCCATTATGCCACTGAAGCAATTTCTATGGTTTTGTCAACGGTTTCTCAAGCATTTGGAGAAGCACATCATGCTCATCATGCATTTCTCTCTGAACTGTCTGTTTAACAATGCATACACAAACGGATTGACAGCAGAGTTGCACAACACCATCATGAAAGAAACGGAGACTAAGACAGGGCCAATGTTGTAGGATGCAAATTTCCTTAAAACATAGATGGCTGACATGAGTTCATAGCAGATCCCAAAAATGACAGTGACAATGACCATCAAAGTTACTCGTTTCTGTACTCTGTTATCATCCTGTATCAAAAAAACGAAAAAAAGAAAGAAAAATGAGTCAATTCTGTTAACTACTTGTCTGAACCGTGAGTAATTGTCATCCATATTAACGATAATGAGCAGTTCCAATAATATATCCAGAGGTCCTTTGACTGAACACGCCAAAGAACAAACAAATTTAAGCAAGGCAAATTATCACAAAGTATACTTAGTTTTAATCCAGTGTAAGAAGGAGTGTCTTTGGGATAAAATGATTGATTTCATTCGCTCAACAAAACTCGCCGTTTCCGCCATCTTGCCGACGACAAAGTTTCCATCGAGCAGATATTGTTTTTTGTCTCCTTCGTTTCACTGCTAGACTAAGCTCCCTTTTAAGTTAAAGTGTTGTTGAATTTCTCTTTTCCCCCTTCTCCTTCCCTAATCTTTTCCTTTCCTCCAGTCGTGGGTTCTAATGTATCACTGCGCCAAATCACTCTCTTGATGTTCTGTCTGAAGCGGTGGTTAAGGAGGGCATACATGAATGGGTTGACTGTTGAATTGAATAACACCATCATATCAACAGCTGCAATACGAGTGGGCGTCAATAAAACTAATCTTGTCTAAATATGTCTTGAGAAGACATATCCTCCCTGCTCGAGAAGCAAAGGGAAAAAAGACAAACGAAGTACGTTTTTTTTAAAGGATGAACAAATACCGAGCAGCTGTAGTCGAGCGCAACAAAAAGAAGAATTAGTGGCGATACTATTTCACAGTGAGAATAACTTACTTCTCTTCGAATTTGACAAAAGTAGCAAGCAGAACGTGTCTGGCTTTGATTTTTAACAAACTTCAACTTTTCTTCATAATATCGGTTTCCACAGATTGGTGTCACTACAGAAAGGAGCACAAACGCCGCTGTTCAAGTCTTAGATCAAAACCTTGCAAAGTTTATTGTCGCGCCAAAAACACAACAGCTGAAGATCACAGCCGCTTAACTCTTTTAGTTCTTTGCAATTTTAGGAAAGATGCCCAGAGGAAAACCACTGCACAATTATATCAATTAGTTTAGTGTTACAAAACGACAACAAAGTTATCGACGTTTCACTAAAAATTATCCGCCTTACTGACAATGAGAATATTTAGAATAAAAACTTTTTTAGCAAGCCCGAGTTAGATAGAACTCAGCTTAATTTAACATCAAATTAGTAGAAGAAAAGGTGAAGAGAGGAGCATTCAACCCCTTCTTGGTTTTTGAATCACACCGGTAAATAAGGTAAACCGGCTACCTCCACTAACAAAAAATTGTTCCAGGCCATTAGATTATGCTATTCAAAAGAGGCAGTAGAACAAACCATACCAACATCAATATAGCTTACGGCAGTCATTTCACAAGCTGGAATACGTCCCTGATGCAATTTGGGGATACCAGGCGCATAACTTCTCATCCTCATTGACGCCAAATATAATGACTTTAAATTTACAGAAGTTTATACCATAGGTCTGTTGTACTTTCGTCGTAATATTCTCTTCTGTCATGATCGAAGTTCGATTCAAGTTAAGTCGGAAGTGGGCGTGATTTTTCTGAGTCAGTTACAATTCATAGTTAAGAATAGCGACAATGAGCCTTACTAGGACCATAGACTACGTCAAATCAAATTTCCGCGTTTGTAAAGAGGGTAAAGAACTCGCATTTGAATTATTTGGAAGTAAATAAGCTTTCAATTCTTATAAACTTTGTTGCTTTACAAAATCAAAAATTAGACATTCCAGCCGAGAAACAAACTCGGTTGCAACACGTGTGCCACTGTTTGTTTTGGTCACACTGTTTCACTACTACTGCGATCTTTCACTACACTTGCATGTGTGCTCTCGCTGGGATGAGATTACTATAAATAATAACTGCGCTAATAAATTAATGAATCCTTATATTATATTCTTGACGCAACCATGCATGAACATCCAATTGACGATGTGTCCCCTAATTTTGCTAAAAATCCCTTTTCATGCTTTCATATCTCTACTCATGTTTTTCAGTCATTCACTTTGCTTTCGTGTCAAATCGAGATTACTAAAGTTGTGTTGGAGCAAAGATGGGAATATTTGGAGATACATGATGTAATACTAGAAATCTATTCCCCTTTCAGTGATTTTCAAAATGCCTTGAGCCATTTAAAACCATACCAGCACGTAGAAAGGTTGAGAAAGTTGTGTGACCCGTTCGTTATTCTGATAATTTATGCCGAAGGGATGCTTTCAGGGAATTATTGTCTAACTCAGTAAACTAGATACGATTACGAATGATACAACGATGAAAATTGAAAATTATTCGGAATTTGTTATTCTTAAATCTTTTACATCTACTTTCATTTAACCTGGTTCTTGTATTATGTATTGCAGTGGCGGTCAGTGATCCAGACCTTGTGCTAAGGGGGAGGGCCCTGTTTTTTGTGGCTTCCCCTGTCGGCTCTTCTTCCTTCTGCGGCTCTTTTTCTTCTTTTTTTCACCCAAAATAAGGAGGGGGGCCTCCCTAGATCCGCCACAGTATTACTTTCCTTTGTGGTGTTGTTAAATTTCTCTTTCCACCTGTCTTCTTCTCTAATATTTAAGTTCTTTTAGTGTGAAGTGATTTTACTTTATCTAAAAATATGTAACATATTGATAGTGGGGCTCATGTGCGATAAAATAAGCAATGTTTCGTTTCAAGAATCATATTTCAATAGTGCGTTCATGATCAGAACTTCGGTTTGTAATTTCCTTTCCTCCAGTCCTGGGTGCTGGTGTATCACTACACCAAATCAATCTCTTGATGTTCTGTCTGAACTGATGGTTCAAGAGGGCATACACGAATGGGTTGACTGCTGAATTGAACAACACCATCATATCAACAGCTGCAATATGTTCAAAGCTAATGTTGAGAGTTGTAAGAAACCTCAACACGTATTCAACTGTTTCTGCTCCCCAGGAAACTGCAAAGATGAAACTGACTACCATAGCCATCAAGGTAACACGTTTCCGAACCTTTATGACGCCCTGTGAGTTGAGAGAAGGAAAAGGATCCCAATCAGCTAAGAGAATGTAGTGAAGTATGCTGTTAAATTTATTATGAAAAAATTGACTCTTCTTCACTACAAGGATATATACCACGTTGAATTACCAAAAACCTTTTTAAGATATTACCTTAGAGGAGACTTTTTCAACTAAAGGTTCAGTTGTCATTTAGAAAGAATACTTTCTAATTTTAGCCACAAGAATTGTTTCCCTAAGTCTTCCTGTGTTTAATTTTCCCTTATTTAAACGCTTACTTTTTGCTGATAGTTGATTCCTTTGTTTCCATCGCATTTGAACCACAATGTGCACACGATAATAGAATAAAGGACAACCATTATTCCTACAGAAACGACAACAAAAACCAACCACGCCAAAGAATAAGCCGTGGACATCCACTTCTCATGATCAGGCCAACTCTGAACACAGTTTTTGCTGGTTTTCTCCTCGTCGAAAGTCCTAGCCAAGAATAATGGTATGTTCAAAAATGCAGAGAACACCCAAGCGCCAATAACTATTATCTGAAAAAGAAAGTTTAAAAAGGGGTTTCTAAATTTTGTGAAATTTTATTTGCACAATGACTATGGTGAGTTCAGAGTTATTCTAAGCTCTTTACCAAATGATTGGTAGTTAGATGGACCGGTGGCTAAATTGATGGATGCGCATTTTGAATAGGACTGGAAGATTTTGGACATTTTTAGGTGTCCGTTGGTTTTTCAGGGTTGATGAAAAGACTTACCTTCAGTTTGCGCCGTGAAAGATTCTTTTCTCTGGCAATGGGATATACTACTGCGTAGTATCTTTCAAAGGCAATTGCAACCAAAGTGACAATTGACGAAACTCCTGCAACCCAGGCCATATTCCCACCTGTCAAAAGCTTGCAGAGAACCACACCTGCCAATCCGTCCGGGTGACTCATGTTGAAGCTGACGATAATCTTTGGTGCGATGAACAATGCGAATAGGATATCAGATATGGCCAGATTCAGAAGTAAATAATTCATGGGATTTCTGTATTTAGAGATGAAAAATCCAAATTATAAATGATCAAAAGTCAAACTCAGAAACACTCGGACAAGGAAGAAACAAATCAGTAAAGAATGTTCTCTCATACTTGGTGCGAAGATATCGTTTTATGATTAAACAAACAAGTGTATTGCCCACGACGTCCACAACAACAAGTATTAATAGCACAGCTGTTATTACAACACTAGAAGCATCAGGCATGATTGGTTACCACTGATCACCAGAACTGAAAAGGTAAAGAAAAAAAAGATATTTAAACAAGGTCAAAGCAACAATTTTCAAAAGTGGCTTGCCTACTTTAATCCTGTAAGCTTCAAGTTTATTTACTCCACAGGGAATTAGATGTAAAAAAAAACGTGATTTGGTATATCATATACACTTTTTCAGTTTTTCAGCAATTCATACAGTTAAATTTGAAAAATAACTTTTTACACTAAACAATGATTTTAATGAAAAATGTTAATGAAAACTTACTTGTTTAGGTTTTTCCGGTCTTCTTAGCACTGTTTGTTTTGTGATCACCTCAATATTGATTCATATAGAAATCAAGCTGGTTTAAATAATAAACAGCGGAAGTTTTAAAAGATCGCCGAATTAGTCATAACCAGTTTTACATTGTTATACACAAACCATTGATCGCAATCTTTCAGTTTCTGGACCATTTTCCATTTCACTGAATAATAATATCGAACACTACCAAAAAACAGATCTTCAAAAATGGAGAGTATCGTATCTTGAGCACTACGTCAACGGTACTTTACGTTTTATATCTTTACGTTTCAGTTAATTACTGAAATGATATTAGTTTTATAATCATCATGAGCATAATGACGTAAAAAAAAGACAGCAGAAAATAATCAAGACAACGGAAGTGTTGTACCAAAGGATTGTTCTTCCTATAGCATTTACTTATATCCGCCAACTTTTGTTCAACAATAGCAACATCAACCCAAGTCGCGTTAAGAGTTCTCTCAAACTTTGACGATCATGCCCCCCCCATCTCTGATCACCGCGTGTGACCAGCTGTTAACTCTCCCCACTGACACATCACAAGACGAAAGAATGTCCCATTATCATCCCTTGTACATCAGTAATTTATAATTATTATTATTAACATATTCTGTTCTTTGTTTAGCTATAATTTGGCTTTCGAAAGCAAATTGAAATAGACTAAGAACAAACTCTGCTCTACTTGCAACCACAAAGACATTTCATTGTAAGACCATAAACAAATTAATTACGTTATCAATTCCTGGTTTGTCTTGCCAGAGCATTTTTAATTTGAGTTCAGTTGTGTTTTGACTTCAGGAGTATTGGGACAGAGCTTGTTTGGTGTTCCTGTTCAAAGAATTAAACAACTTCGATGGATTCTGTTTGGATATGTCGAAAACGACCAAATTACATCATCCTTCAGAAGAAAAAAAACAAAAAACATTAATTGTCTTGTAAGGGACAAGTCTCGAAGGGGCCGATGAGCTGTTACACAAAGATCAATTATTATGTCGAAAGAGTTATCCTTTAGAACGAATTAATGCTTCGGTGAGTTTCTTTGGAGTGAATCAGAAGGCGTAACTACTATCACTGAAAACAAAGAGTCGCCCTTCCTTATGGTATACACTATGAAATTGTTTAAGTATCTTCAAACAAGCAGATTCCTTGAGTTAATTGGTTACTTTATCTACGGCTACAAACCAAACAAAACTTTGTCTAAAATTGTCACGAGTTGTATACGGATTAATCAGAGCCATCCTATAGGATTTGAATTCTAGTTACTGGGATACCTGTGGTAGCCCAGTCATAAAATGCCTTTGTTTTTTTGTCGTCTTTTTTTTTTTTTTTTCCTCCGCCACAAAATGGAAAAATTGCGCAATAGTACCCAGAGGTCATTGGGCCCTCAACACCATGACAACTAACTGTGATCCAATGAGGTGTTCACATGCTGATCACGCGTGCTATCTTGATGATGATTGACGTTGTCATGCACGGACAGGGCCGGGTCACATGACGAACACGAGATTTTTGCCCATAAAACTCTTTGGTCAGTCGTTTTGTATTTCAAGGTGTTTGGATTACGATCATATGGAGCATTATGGCGCAAACGCTCAAAATACTTATAGACGCATACACAAGTCGTATTATTCGCGGCCAATCTACACGAAAAGATGTTATTGAGCGGTAATTTTGGAACGGACTGAATCGTGAACGCTTGAAAGCCATGAAAGCATTGAATGCCTTGTATGTCTTGTATGCTAAGTATGCCAATGTCTTAGTTGAAAACGTTAACTCGTTGTAAAAAGCAAAATCTGAAATCTGAAACGAAACTGCATATACTCTATGCAATCTATTGAACAACACTACTACCGTGAGACTGAAGAACAAAATTCAAATGGATGCAAACTGCTTGTGAAGAAAGACGCCATGTTGGATTCACTTGATGCCAGGGAACGTAGCTACGATAACAGTGCGAATGGTATTAATTTCACGATCAGAAAGGTGAATCTTATGTTTTTTTTCATTGTAGTTGTATGGATATTCTTTTTTAATAAATACATGATCCAAAATCCCGTGTTTTTTGTGTATAATGTTATTATGTTAAGTATTGTTTACGCAATTGTCTTGTCACAGGCGACCCAAGGTCACGTCTCGAGAAAGAGTCGACGATTAATTCACGAACGCGTCACGCGTTGTGTGACTCAGAGTAAGTTGTGCTAGGAACCGTTGAAAATTTGAACACGTTATAAGGAATAGTATAGGGAACGAAATATGGTCGATTTATAACGATAAATATTTCGAAATATGAAGATTTTTCTCGTAAAATCAATAAAACTTACACATACCCTGTGTATCCGTTGTAGTTTCTGGCGATTGTTGCCGTTTTAAGCTTGCTTTACCATCACTATTATTCACGTCATCTACTTTTATTACATTGGTAAAATCTGTACAGACATCACACCAACCAACTATGTTGAAGGCTTGAAATTATATTACGATCGATTTTCATCAAGAAATGGGCCAGGAATTTTCCACAATAGTGCAAATAATCGTGAAGGCTGATCGCGGAAAAGCGATTGCGTGACGCTCGGTAAGCTGTAAGATGACATGTTATTATATACCAGACGTAAAAACTCCTCAGATTCTCAGTCTGCATTTTGTACCCACTTTGCAGTCTATATTTTGTATCCGGTCTGCAGTCTGCTGTCTACATTTTGTACTAACAGGTATCCGTGGCACCAATACAGTTTATTTTTGGTTACATTTATTTGCACAACACACATAATCTACCACAAAATACCTGTGTGTGAGGTAATTCGACATTTTCATTCTTTCCCGCGTTAATAATCTTCTTTCCTTTTGTAAGAATGTAGACCACTTACAATGTTTCAAGTAATCCACCTACCCTACAAAAAATAACTCTTGCATGCATAGCATGCCTATGTTTTGAGACAGGTGTATGCCCTTGGCCAGACTTGAGCTCACTATTTCAGTATACTAGTCCGACACGCGTAGTATCACTACACTTGATTCCACGGATCCAGTACCATCCAGGTATCCCAGTTACCCTGCTCACAGGGTCTAGTTTTACATGAATTCGCGGTTCACTGCTTTCCGAAAAAGAAACAGAAAATTCTGCGCGGAGTAAGATGTTATGTGTATTTCAGTTAAAAGCGTTTCCTGTCCACTGTCTTCTCAGCCTGAATATAAATAACATGATTTCAGATACAGTGTGTATTGGCCACGGATGGTCCCGGGTGGTTAAATTCCAATAATATCTTGGGGAGACTGACTGAGCTCCAAAGGCAACCTAAATCTTGCATTACAATCTTACCTTTCTGCGGCTTTGGTTTATATAAGAGGTTGTCTCCGTTGGGGCGTGACAGTTCTATGAATCTTTGGGTTTGGATTATTTCGTAATAGAAATAAAATTTTTCGGTAAATCGTAAATATGAAAGTCACTCAGCGGGAAGGTAGTCGCAGAATATCAATAGGCTGCAGTTATTTTCTGTTTCAGCGTACATAAACTTTTCAGCTAAAGTGAAGTGCCTCCTCTTAAGGAAAAAAAAGGTGAAGCCGAGATTTATTAACAGTTTAAACTAAAAATATAACTTACACAGACACCTGCTTCGTGACCTCGAAAACGTGATCACAGTCGGTGGAATTTCCGCGTGAAATTTAGCTCTCGCCCGTCAGAAAACTCTGCAATTTTGTTGATGCTGTCCAGGATTATGACATGTGCGATCCAAATTCGTAAAATTTTCATATCGCATTTCATTAATGAAGCTTTTAAGCCGGCACAGCTCTAGTACCGTTGCTTACAAATCGAACATTAAATTTTCCACTTTTACTTGTAAACAGGAAGTTTGACATACCGAACTATCAATATAATTACGCGCTTATCACGAACAGCTGCAGAATATATTTTCATGCTTCAACTAAATCCATCCTTTGCAGTCAGAACCAACAGCAAAGAGTACAAAAGAATATTGGAAAATTAAATTAACAAATGATATAAACCAATAGTTCTCGTTGAATTTAACTCATGAGAGAGTTAAGACCTTTTAACTGATAATCGATTAGGCCACTCTGTAAATCCACAGACTGACTCAAAAACTTCCTTCTCTTTATTGACAATAAGACGAACCTGGTTAGCGAGGTTATCGACGATTTAAATTAACACCACTATAGATGCCTACTGCCGGCAATAAACAATTGTATTACTGCTTCTCGAAAAGAAAAACAATTGAATGAGTTCTCTACGTTGATTCCCAACCGGCACTGATAAGTATTAAGATATTTATAAATATACCACTTATCGAACCTTGCTTTCTGCGCCACTGACTTACGTGCACAGCAATCGCGTTTACTCCTCTGGTAAGGCTTCAGCAGGTCTATGCAATATGACACCAGAAACTGAAGTATTTGGACAACGTAATGACAAGCTCAATATTTCGCATTTCCCTTTTCCAGGGAATAACTAATTGACTTAACGAAATGATCGAAGTGAGACTACTATAGTTATCGATGTCAAGGTAAATTAGAGAAAAACAAAAGACATTTGAAGAAAATAAATAAGAAAGAAGAAAATTTTAGAAATCTTACTGTCGTCGTAAATGCTGAGAGCGAGGAAGAGATAGCGTCGGAACGAAACTAATTCGCTATTCCGATATATTATTTAAAGGATTATCATAACAAAACGGTTAAACCATTCCAAGAGCGGAACTACAAAGATTTATTTTCTTTATGCATACTACACGCGAAGATGGCTAGGCGGAGGGAGCTGTTTGGTAACAATTATATGATGAAAATTATTCCATCTGGCTGTAAATCTGAATTCTTACTATTGTTGTTGTGTTTTTTTTTTGTTAGTCTTTGTTAGTCTTACAGTTCCAACAGAGTCGGCTATGTTTGATGGTTACACTACACTGTTTCATTCATATTGCTCATGTATGTGCATCGACTCCATCTTTAAGCACTTAAAGTTGAGTGAGCAGTAGTTCACAATTTCGTTACTTGTAATGCATTTTCTTTATTTGAGTAAATCGCCGTTTTGAAGTAATTATAGTGTTTTTTATTTTTGGCCTTCAACTCATGTCGCCATTATGCCACTGAAGCAATTTCTATGGTTTTGTCAACGGTTTCTCAAGCATTTGGAGAAGCACATCATGTCTTAAATTTTCTCCCTGAACTGTCTGTTTAACAATGCATACACAAACGGATTGACAGCAGAGTTGCACAACACCATCATGAAAGAAACGGAGACTAAGACAGGGCCAATGTTGTAGGATGTAAATTTCCTTAAAACATAGATGACTGACATGAGTTCATAGCAGATCCCAAAAATGACAGTGACAATGACCATCAAAGTTACTCGTTTCTGTGCTCTGTTATCATCCTGTATCAAAAAAACGAAAAAAAGAAAGAAAAATGAGTCAATTCTGTTAACTACTTGTCTGAACTGTGAGTAATCGTCATCCATATTAACGATAATGAGCAGTTCCAATAATATATCCAGAGGTCCTTTGACTGAACACGCCAAAGAACAAACAAATTTAAGCAAGGCAAATTATCACAAAGTATACTTAGTTTTAATCCAGTGTAAGAAGGAGTGTCTTTGGGATAAAATGATTGATTTCATTCGGTCAACAATACTCGCCGTTTCCGCCATCTTGCCGACGACAAAGTTTCCATCGAGCAGATATTGTTTTTTGTCTCCTTCGTTTCACTGCTAGACTAAGCTCCCTTTTAAGTTAAAGTGTTGTTGAATTTCTCTTTTCCCCCTTCTCCTTCCCTAATCTTTTCCTTTCCTCCAGTCGTGGGTTCTAATGTATCACTACGCCAAATCACTCTCTTGATGTTCTGTCTGAAGCGGTGGTTAAGGAGGGCATACATGAATGGGTTGACTGTTGAATTGAATAACACCATCATATCAACAGCTGCAATACGAGTGGGCGTCAATAAAACTAATCTTGTCTAAATATGTCTTGAGAAGACATATCCTCCCTGCTCGAGAAGCAAAGGGAAAAAAGACAAACGAAGTACGTTTTTTTTAAAGGATGAACAAATACCGAGCAGCTGTAGTCGAGCGCAACAAAAAGAAGAATTAGAGGCGATACGATTTCACGGTGAGAATAACTTACTTCTCTTCGAATTTGACAAAAGTAGCAAGCAGAACGTGTCTGGCTTTGATTTTTAACAAACTTCAACTTTTCTTCATAATATATGTTTCCACAGATTGGTGTCACTACAGAAAGGAGCACAAACGCCGCTGTTCAAATGAATACAACAGTCTTAGACCAAAACCTTGCAAAGTTTATTGTCGCACCAAAAACACAACAGCTGAAGATCACAGCGGCTTAACTCTTTTAGCTCTTTGCAATTTTAAGAAAGATGCCCAGAGGAAAACCACTGTACACTTATATCAATTAGTTTAGTGTTACAAAACGACAACAAAGTTATCGACGTTTCACTAAAAATTATCCGCCTTACTAACAATGAGAATATTTAGAATAAAAACTTTTTTAGCAAGCCCGAGTTAGATAGAACTCAGCTTAATTTAACATCAAATTAGAAGAAAAAAATTGGTTTTTGAATCACACCGGTAAACAAGGTAAACCGGCTACCTCCACTGACAAAAAATTGTTCCAGGCCATCAGATTATGCTATTCAAAAGAGGCAGCAGAACAAACCATATAAACATCAATATAGCTTACGGCCGTCATTTCACAAGCTGGAATACGTCCCTGATGCAGTTTGGGGATACCAGGCGCATAACTTCTCATCCTCATTGACGCCAAATATAATGACTTTAAATTTACAGAAGTTTATACCATAGGTCTGTTGTACTTTCGTCGTAATATTTTCTTCTGCCATGATCGAAGTTCGATTCAAGTTAAGTCGGAAGTGGGCGTGATTTCTCTGAGTCAGTTACAATTCATAGCTAAGAATAGCGACAGTGAGCCTTACTAGGACCATAGACTACGTCAAATCAAATTTCCGCGTTTGTAAAGAGGGTAAAGAACTCGCATTTGAATTATTTGGAAGTAAATAAGCTTTCAATTCTTATAAACTTTGTTGCTTTACAAAATCAAAAATTAGACATTCCAGCCGAGAAACAAACTCGGTTGCAACACGTGTGCCACTGTTTGTTTTGGTCACACTGTTTCACTACTACTGCGATCTTTCACTACACTTGCATGTGTGCTCTCGCTGGGATGAGATTGCTATAAATAATAACTGCGCTAATAATTTAATGAATTCTTATATTATATTCTTGACCCAACCATGCATGTACATCCAATTGACGATGTGTCCCCTAATTTTGCTAAAAATTCCTTTTCATGGTGTTGGAGCAAAGATGGGAATGTTTGGAGATACATGATGTAATACTAGAAATCTATTCCCCTTTCAGTGATTTTCAAAATGCCTTGAGCCATTTAAAACCATACCGGCACGTAGAGAGGTTGAGAAAGTTGTGTGACCCATTCGTTATTCTGATAATTTATGCCGAAGGGATGCTTTCAGGGAATTATTGTCTAACTCAGTAAACTAGATACGATTACGAATGATACATTGATGAAAATTGAAAATTATTCGGAATTTGTTATTCTTAAATCTTTTACATCTACTTTCATTTAACCTGGTTCTTGTATTATGTATTGCAGTGGCGGTCAGGGATCCAGACCTTGTGCTAAGGGGGAGGGCCCGGTTTTTTGTGGCTTCCCCTGTCGGCTCTTGTTCCTTCTGCGGCTCTTTTTCTTCTTTTTTTCACCCAAAATAAGGAGGGGGGCCTCCCTAGATCCGCCACAGTATTACTTTCCTTTGTGGTGTTGTTAAATTCTCTTTCCACCTGTCTTCCTCTCTAATATTTAGGTTCTTTTAATGTGAAGTGATTTTACTTTATCTAAAAAATATGTAACATATTGATAGTGGGGCTCATGTGCGATAAAATAAGCAATGTTTCGTTTCAAGAATCATATTTCAGTAGTGTGTTCATGATCAGAACTTCGGTTTGTAATTTCCTTTCCTCCAGTCCTGGGTGCTGGTGTATCACTACACCAAATCAATCTCTTGATGTTCTGTCTGAACTGATGGTTCAAGAGGGCATACACGAATGGGTTGACTGCTGAATTGAACAACACCATCATATCAACAGCTGCAATATGTTCAAAGCTAATGTTGAGAGTTGTAAGAGTCCTCAAGACGTATTCAACTGATTCTGCTCCCCAGGAAACTGCAAAGATGAAACTGACTGCCATAGCCATCAAGGTAACACGTTTCCGAACCTTTATGACGCCCTGTGAGTTGAGAGAAGGGAAAGGATCCCAATCAGCTAAGAGAATGTAGTGAAGTATGCTGTTAAATTTATTATGAAAAAATTGACTCTTCTTCACTACAAGGATATATACCACGTTGAATTACCAAAAACCTTTTTAAGATATTACCTTAGAGGAGACTTTTTCAACTAAAGGTTCAGTTGTCATTTAGAAAGAATACTTTCTAATTTTAGCCACAAGAATTGTTTCCCTAAGTCTTCCTGTGTTTAATTTTCCCTTATTTAAACGCTTACTTTTTGCTGATAGTTGATTCCTTTGTTTCCATCGCATTCGAACCACAATGTGCACACGATAATAGAATAAAGGACAACCATTATTCCCACAGAAACGACAACCAAAACCAACCACGCCAAAGAATAAGCCGTGGACATCCACTTCTCATGATCAGGCCAACTCTGAACACAGTTTTTGCTGGTTTTCTCCTTGTCGAAAGTCCTAGCCAAGAACAATGGTATGTTGAAAAATGCAGAGAACACCCAAGCGCCAAGAACTATTATCTGAAAAAGAAAGTTTAAAAAGGGGTTTCTAAATTTTGTGAAATTTTATTTTCACAATGACTATGGTGAGTTCAGAGTTATTCTAAGCTCTTTACTAAGTGATTGGCAGTTAGATGGACCGGTGGCAAAATTGACGGACGTGCATTTTGAATAGGACTGGAAGTGAGATTTTGGACATTTTTAATAGTCCGTTGGTTTTATTTGGGTTGATGCATAGACTTGCCTTCAGTTTGCGCCGTGAAAGATTCTTTTCTCTGGCAATGGGATATAATACTGAGTAATATCTTTCAAAGGAAATTGCAACCAAAGTGACAACTGACGAAACTCCTGCAACCCAGGCTATATTTCCACCTGTCAAAAGCTTGCAAAGTACCACACCTGCCAATCCGTCCGGGTGACTCATGTTGAAGCTGACGATAATCTTTGGTGCGATGAACAATGCGAATAGGATATCAGATATGGCCAGATTCAGAAGTAAATAATTTATGGGATTTCTGTATTTAGAGATGAAAAATCCAAATAATAAATGATCAAAAGTCAAACTCAGAAACACTCGGACAAGGAAGAAACATATCAGTAAAGAACGTTTTCTCATACTTTGTGCGAAGATATCGTTTTATGATTAAACAAACAAGTGTATTGCCCACAACGTTTAAACAAGAAGTATCAATAGCACAGCCGTTATTGCAACAGCAGACGAATCAGTCATGATTGGTTACCGCTGATCACCGGAACTGAAGAGGCAAAAAAAAAAAGGTATTTAAACAGAGTTAAAGCAACAATTTTCAAAAGTGGCTTGCCCACTTTAATCCTGCAAGCTTCGTATTTATTTACAACTCTACAGAGGTTTAGATGTATTGAAAAACGTGATTTGGTATATTATATATATTTTTCAGTTTTCAGCAATTCATAAAGTTAAATTTTTGAAGTAACGTTTGAAACTAAAAAATGATTTTAATGAAAAATGTTAAAGAAAACTTACTTGTTTAGGTTTTTCCAGTCTTTTTCGCACTGTTCGTTTTGTGGTCACTTCAATATTGACTCAGTTATAAAGATATAGCTGGTTTAAATAATAAACAGCGGAAGTCTCAAAAAATCGCGAAAATTGAAACAAGGCTTTGTCATAACCAGTATAACATTGCTATACACAAACCATTGATCGTAATCTTTCAGTTTGTGAACCATTTTTCGTTTCACTGAACAATAATGTCGAACACTAAAAACAGATCTTTAAAAATTGAGAATATGGTGTCTAGAGCACTACGTCAACAGTACTTTATATATCCTTATGTTTCAATTAATTGCTGAAATACTGTAATATTAGTTTTGTAATCATGGTGAGCCTAAAATAAAATAGAAGATAATTAAGACAACGGAAGTGTTGTATCAATTATTGACCTTCCTCTAGCATTTAATTAAATCACTCGGATGGCCCTGGGTGGTTTAATTCCAATAGCGTCTAGGAGACTGACTGAGCTCGAAAGGGAACCTAAATCTTACGTTACAATCTTACCTTTCTGCGGCTTTGGTCTATAATAGCTTGTCTCCGTTGCGTTGTGACAATTCTGTGAATCCTTGGGCTTTGGATTGGCTGTTATTAACGGTATAACGTGCCAATGCAAGTCAATCAAAGGGAATGTAGTCACGGAATATCAGAATACTGCAGATATTTTCTGTTTCAGCGTACACAAACTTTTCAACTAAAGGAAAGTGCTTCCTCTTACAAGGAAAAGGTAAGACAGAGGTTTATTAACAGTTTAAGCATAAAATATATCTTACACAGACACCTACATCGTGACCTCGAAAACGTGACCACAGTCAGTGGAGTTTCCACGTGAAATTCTCGCCCGTCAGACAACTCCGAAATTTTGTTGATACTGTCCGGGAATGTAACAGATACGATCGAAATTCGTTAAATTTTCTTATCGCTTTTCATAATTGAAGCTTTTAAGCCGGCACACCATCGGCCCTAATACCGTTGCTAAAAATCGGACATAGAATTTTGGAATTCTATCTGTAAACAGGAAGTTTGACATACGAAACTAACCATGTAATTACGTGCTTATCACGAAACAGCTGCTGAATATATTTTCATGCTTCAACTAAATCCATCCTTAGCAGTCAGAACCAACAGCAAACAGTACAAAAGAACATTACAAAACAAATTATAAAAACTAATCGTTCTCGATGAAATTAAAATTAGTTCTCGAAAAAGTTTGCTACGCGACCTTTAAAGACCTGAAATTGATAACCGATTAAGCCGCATTTATTAAGTCACAGAGACTGACTCAAAAGCTTCCTTTCCCTTATTGACAAACAGACGAACCTAGGGAGCTTATCAACAATTTTTGTAATTCAACACCACTATAGAAGCCCACTGCGTGAAATTAACAATAATATAATTGCTTCTCAAAGAGAAAACAAATGAATAAATTCTCAACGTTGATTCTCCACTGGCACTAATAAATATTGAGACATTTATCAATATACCGCTTACTGAGCCTTCCTTTCTGGGTCATTGACAAACCTACACAGCAATCGCGTTTACTCCCCTGGTAGGGCTTCAGCAGGTCTATGCAATATGACACCGGAAATTGAGTTATCTAGACAACGTAATGACAAGCTAAATATTTGGCATTTCCCTTGTTCAAGAAATTACTAATTGACCTAACGAAATAACCATAGTGACACTATTATAGTTTTATATTTATATTATATAGACAAAGAAAATAAATAAGAAAGAAGGAAAAACGTATAAATCTTACCGTCGTCGTAAATGCTCAAGCAAGGAAGAGATAGAATCGGAACGAAACTAACTAGCCGCTGCAATATTATTTTAAAAGATTATCATAACAAAACGGTCCAAGAACGAAACTTCAAAGATTTATTTCCTTTATGCGTAAGACACACAAAGATGTCTAGCCGGAGGAGGTTGTTGGGTAACAGTTATGCAATGAAAATTATTCCATCTAGCTGTATATCTGAATTCTTATTATTGTTGTTGCTTTTTTCCCAACTCTTAATCCAGATTTTCGACTTTGTCAGTTTGCAGTTTCAACAGAGTCAGCGATGTTTGATAGGTACACTACACCGTTTCATTCACACTCTCATGTATGTACATTAATTGCATCGACTCCATTTTTAACTCGTAAATTGCGCGCATGCGCAAGAGCGAGTTATAGATACGATGTGGGGAATAGCATTCGCTCGCTCGCTCGCTCGCTCTTTTTATTTTAGGCTTTTGAGTGCATTTGATAGTTTTTGGCGAGCAATAAACAAACAAAATGGCGACCTTTGTTGCTAAGAATAGTGGTGGGGTGAAAAAGAAGCCAATGATAATCTTAAAAGAGTTTTTTTTTCGTTTTAGTTTCAACAAGCAGCGCTAGCGACTGGCAGGCATGCAAGGATTCACACTAAAATAACAGAACAACCTTCGTTTTTCATAAAATTGTAATTCACAATCCTTGAACTTGAAAACAATCGGAAGATTCATTGAAAATATCACTTACTGCGAAGCGCACGGAGTTTGCAGATGTTCAAAAGCTTTTTCTGTTATAGCGTGAGATTGAGGACAAAATCGATCATTACGTTTCGTATCGTGTGTTTTTCCTGTGTGAAGCAACAAAAGATGCCGGGGACTGACAAAATTACAAGTTAACACGAAAATCATAGCCAGCGATTTTCAGTGAATTTTTAACGAAAAATCTTCTTGTAAGTTTCAAGACAATTTGAAGATTCATAATACGTATTACGTACGAAAATGTGGAAGTTATACACCACAAAATTGGTAAATAGGCCTGAAATGAAATTCTATCTTGTTATTGATTATACGTTGCCTAACACGTGACTAAAATCTACCCAGGCGGAGATCCAAAATGACGGTGGCAGTCTTGGCTTAGTTATATCACTCAAAACTCGTTCTCGTTTGTCTCATTTGATAAAGAGGGAATTGTTAATGTTTTCATCAAGACGTTATTGCCTTGATTTTCTAATTTTTACAATGATAGACAGTAAATTTCACTTTTCACCCACAATTACTGCCAACCTTTTCTTTTGAACCAGAAACAAAAATGATATACGTTTAAAACACATGACATCATTCACCCTTGTCAAATGTAATAGCATGATCATTTCAATTTCAATTACTTTGTTTCTTTGCTACATTAGCGAACACTGAACTACTACTTGTACTCTAGATACGACAATCAACCAAAAAATTCCCTAAACCAGTTAACATTAAACATAATCCAAAAAATCATGTGTCAATTCACGAGTTTGCTCATAGAGCACTTTGATTAAGTTCTTCGAGTTGAGTGGAAAGTAGTTTACAATTTCGTTACTTGTAATGCATTTTCTTTATTTGAGTAAATTTCCGTTTTGAAGTAATTATAGGGTTTGTTATTTTTTGCCTTCAAATAACAATTCATGTCGCCATTATGCCACTGAAGTAATTTCTATAGTTTGGTTGACCCGGTTTCTCGAGCATTTGGAGAAGGACAACATTTCCTTAATTTTCTCTCTAAACTGTCTGTTTAACAATGCATACACAAACGGATTGACAGCAGAGTTGAACAACACCATTACGAAAGAAACGGAGACTAAGACAGGGCCAATGTTGTAGGATGCAAATTTCCTTAAAACGTAGATGACTGACATGAATCCATAGCAGATCCCAAAAATGACAGTGACAATCACGACCATCAAAGTTACTCGTTTCCGCACTCTGTTAACACCCTGTATCAAAAAAACAAAAAAAAAAAGAAGGAAGAAAAATGAGTCAATTCTGTTAACTACTTGTCTGAACCGTGAGTAATTGTCATCCATATTACTGATAATGGGTAGTTCCATTATTATATACAGAGGTCCTTTGATTGAGCACGCCAAAGAACAAACAATTTTAAACAAGGCAAATTATCACAAAGTATACTTAGTTTTAATCCAGTGTAACAAGATGTGTCTATGGGATAAAATGATCGATTTCATTCGCTCAACAAAACTCGCCGTTTCCACCATCTTGCTGACGACAAAGTTTCCATCGAGCATAAATTGTTTTTTGTCCTCTTCATTCCACTGCTTGACTAAGCTTCCTTTTAAGTTAGCGAAGGATTTATTGTTTAGAAAAGATTTTTGAGTGTGTGTGTGTATTTTTTTTGATGAAGAAAATGGCCTTACTTCTGCAGACCCATCCACCCTCTGTCCTCGCTGGACGCTTTACACTTTCTCAATATCTCTAATCACAGGAGGAAATAGGACAAAGATGTCCTTGCTAATCGTAATCTACTCTCGAATCTCCAACATTATATCTCATTGCTAAAAAATTCTTTAAAAAACTCAGGAAACCAAGAAAAATTTAACAAAGAGCAAAGAAAGGAGATCACTGGTTGAAGTGAGCTGATATGAAAGACCTGCTAACTAATTTCTTAACCCTTACCCTCTGTTGACGAGAAAGAGGTTTGAACCACAAAGCGCTTACAACATTGTAGTATAAGCCGGCCATAACAATCAGAGGAAGGACAACCACAAGTAACCAAGCCACACTGTAAGCCTTTGACATCCACTTCTGTGGCCAATTCCATACGCAGAACTGCTTTTTGTTGTCGAAGGTTGCAGTGAGAAACATGGGAATACTGAATGCAACTGAGAAGATCCAAGAAACCAGGACGATCACCTGAAACAGTTATCCCGGCATATTTGAACACGACTGAGAAAATTTCACCGGTGAAGAAATGGTTGATCAAATCAACCATTTCACTTCAAAAAAATTATTTCCATATTGATGATTGATTCTTTTAAATTAAGTTAAATTGTGTATCAATGACCTTCAGATACCTATAAGAATCTTAGCCAAGATAACAAACAATCTTATCAAAGTCGCAAGGAAGTTGTGCAGGTTTGATATGAACGCAATAACATTAACCTTTACACACCTTCAACTTAGGCTTCGTCAAGTTCCACCTAAAAGGATAAATCACTGAATAATATCGGTCAACAGCAATTGCGATCAAACTGAATATTGAAGAAACTGCTCCAATCCACCCGACGTTTCCACCTGTTACGAATTTGCATAAACCTGCAGCAATCACGCCTTCTGGGTGGAAGGAAGTAAGTCTGAGAAGAACGGAAGGTGCGATGAAAATGGCGAATATCATGTCTGCAATTGCCAGGTTCACGAGTAGATAGCTTATGAGAGTCCTATAGAAATGATAATAGATAAAACAGTCAATAGCGAGACTCAATTGCCACATAACAAAATCCGTTTTAAAGTCGCAAAATTGTCGCTTTTTAAAAACCGTAGGAAATTCATCCATTTTATTTTGCCTTCTTTGTCTTTCATTTTCTAGCAATTTCATTACTTTTAAGCCTTGAAATCTGATTAGTTTCTCAGTTAATTTTTCCTTTTTCAATTACAGGGGAAAAGCTGCGATTTAGAACAAAAATAATACGATCCGTGACTATATCGCATTGTCGAGAGCAAATCCGATTGTAAGGACGGAATGGAATAAATATTGTTATTTCCTTTCGTACAGGAATCAACCTAGGTATCATAAACTTTTTCTCTTGTCGCTTACATCGATGAACTTAAGTTCCTTCCTTTAGCGAGTTATTGTTCATCAAATGCAAAATTATCACATAATATCGTTAACATCATAAATTGGTAATCGTAATAACCTCATGTGTAGGTTTCTCTCAATGATCAAACACACAACAGAATTTCCTGCGATGTTTACGGAAATGAGTGTGAAAAGTACCGCGTTTATGGCAATGTTAGTCACTGATTCACTCATGCTTGTATGAAACCTGGTAAAGAGATTTAAAGTAAACAAAAAGGCATTTAGAATGTACTCAAAGAGTGATGAAAACGTGGGACAGGTGCGTGCTAAATATGTAAAATCAAGACAAATTAACATCCCCACAAAGTCTTGATGTGAATTCATTCAAGCCGGAACTACTTTTGCAACTCACTGACGTGACATGGAATATCCAGGGTAGGCTTGGAGTTGCTCAGTAAGAACTAAGACTACTCTATTATTCTCCAAGGTTTTATTTCAATAGCAAACAAATAATATACCTCTTAACTATCAGCAATGATTTACCCATACAAGAAAAGAAACGTTACGAAATAAACAAAAATGGTGAACTTATGTTCACCTAACGTCAAAAGGTTGTTAAATGAAGTTAACTGATCGTTAATAGTGAAAGATGCTCTTGATATCTTTCCAGCTCTGTTTGATATTGAAATAATTTCCATTTTAAAAAAATCATTAGCGCTATAATTAAAAAAAAAACATGGAAAATGAAATAAGGCAATATGTATCGATGCATTGGATATCCTCCGCCAAAAATTTTTTTACATTACTTGCAGCAATCCAGACCACTCTAAGAGTTCTCTCAAGCTTTGACAATTAGCTTGATATTAGTCAAGCTCCACTGATGATAACGCAGGATAACCTTTTACCCTTGGTTTCTTTTCCTAATACATCCGTAATTTTGACATTATTACCCTCAACCATGGAAGATATGAATTCGTGTGAAAACCATGGAGAAAAATAAGTCCACAAGCAATTACTACGGGAATCCATTTCGACCTCAACTAAGCAGTTCTCATTTAATTGTTGTTTACCCTCCATGTTTACCTTGTAAAAGTATAATTATTGTGTGATTTCTTTCAATTTCACCTCAAGAATATTGTGGCAAAGCTGGTTTAGCGTAAATGTATAAATTATTGTACAACAGCGATAGATTTTGTTAAGAAAGTAATCAGTTTTAACGTAGGGAAATCGGCAGAAATCGCGCCGTCTCGATCTCTTTTTCTGAGTGGCAAGTTTCGACCGGAAATTTGTCTTTTGTTATGATCGAAACACTTCCCGTGAACTGTTGCGCAAATATTAAATTTCCAATCAAAAGAATCATTCATCATAACAACTTCTACGTGAAGCAGGCAGTGTAGCCTACAATTACTGTAAACAAAGAATCGTCCTTCTATACCGTATAGAACGTGAAATTCTTTTAAGATGTTCGTTATGTATACTGATACAAATTAAAGCAAAGGAAATTTTGCTAAATTTGTCACAAGCTGTGTGAGAGAGGATAATTTACAGTGCAATCTTACCTTTTTTGCGGCTTTGGGTTTTCAGGGCCTATCTTGTCTCAGGGTGGGCGTGATAGCTTTTTGAATCCTCGGGCGTTGAATTGGTTCGAAAAAGAAGTGGAATTGAACGGTATAGTGTGCCAATACCAGACTAAGGAAATGTAGTCATGGAATATTAATAGGCTACAGGTTTTTTCCGTTTCATGGTAAAAAAAATTAATATAGGAATTTCTGGCCAACTTTCTGGCACCAAAAGTGACAAACGCAATATTTAATTTGTCTTTCTTTTTTTCAAGAAAGGGTAAAATGACCCCTAAGAAGAAGTTATAGTTTTGCCATGGCATTCTAAGAGAAAAGGAGAGAGAAGAATCATTTGATGACGAGAACGAAATTTTTTCAAACAAAAAAATCCTACGTAAATGCTCGAACTGAAAACGAAATAGACGACTTTCCGTGTAAAAAGGACATTCAAAAACTTTTTACCGGAGGAATTTTCTGGCTAAGAACTACTTAAAGATAATATTTCAATTTATTTCAATCTAAGATATAATTTTTGTTGCCGCTTAGATTCCTGCTCCAAATCTGGGCTTTTAAGTTTGTCAGTTTTTTTCTTTTAACACAGTCGGCAAATGCAGCTTTCTAATGATTTTCTCTTCTCCTACCGATCATTGATATTAATTCAAAGATGTCCAGAGGTAAAACTGAAACCAAAAGGCGCAAACCGAACTGCACTAGATCATGAATTGTTTGTTCTTTTAAAGAAATAATATCAAAGATATCTGCGTCCACGATACTTGGATTCAACGAATGACTAAAGCCGAGGGGCGCACTTGAATTTTTACTTTAGCTTATTTGGCACAGTTGTGTAAAGTTATTTTCTTCTGAAATTGTGTACACTAATGATGACTATCGATCGATGAAAACGCGACATTTACGAAAGTTATTGTAAGAGGTGTAATTTAATGAAGTTTTTACATACCACACGTTCTGAATAAGAGAAACACAAAAGGAATAACGCATAATTCAACCTTCATGCCATTTCAAAATTGGCTTAAAACAATAATTAAACGAAAAACAAATATTCAAGTGACGGTATTATTTCAGTTGAAGACTAAATATTCAAGCCAGAACGCTAGAAAGCTGACAGGGAACTTGAGTTCTACATGAGTGATCTCAAAAGCCGTTGCAAAAGGATTGTTCTAAGGGTCCTGGAAAGAACGTTAAGAAAAGGGAGATGATAAACTCTATATCTCCATAGCTCTATCATGCCAAAGACGCAAACTCTGTGGTCTCTTCGACCTTGCTTCCTGAGCAGTCGGAGAAGCACATCATTTCTTTAGTCTTCTCTCTGAACTGACTGTTTAACAATGCATACACAAACGGATTGACAGCAGAGTTGCACAACACCATTATGAAAGAAACGGAGATTAAGACAGGGCTAATGTTGTAGGATGTAAATTTCCTTAAAACGTAAATAACTGACATGAATCCATAGCAGATCCCAAAAATGGCAGTGACAGACATGACCATTAAAGTGACACGTTTCCGCACTCGGATAACACCCTGAGAAAAGAAAAGAAATTTAAAAAATTCTGTTTAGGATTGATCTGAACAGTAACAAGTTATTATCCATTTCGATCACGATAAGAGGAAAAGAAAAGAAGAACACTTGATAAAATTATTTTTATCAGTGAGTTGTTCCATTATTTTTCACAGCGATCCTCGAAACGAGTAACCCAACAAAGTAATTATCAATGACCATACTTAGCCTTCACCCAGTTTAACAACGATTCTCTATTTATCAATTTGCATAATCTTATCTACCCAATAGAACTCGAAGAATCTGCCCTCTTGCATGGAAGCCATATTTCTGAAACATTGGCTTTCTCACATGCTTCATTAATCTCCCTGTTTAAGTTGACGAAAGATTTAATTTATACAGATGGTTTGTGTTTGTTCGTTGTCGTTAACCCTCGGAGAAGATGAAGAAACTGACATGAATTCTGTAGCTCAAACTGCCCCCAGTTCTTGTGCTTCTTTAATTGCTCTATTAGAAGCAATTGAGGGAATGACAATCAGAATTATCCTAATCTACTCTTGAATATCCCACGATATTCTTCCCGCTAGAAAATTATCTTAGAGACTCATGGAATAAAGTAAAATTAATCAATAGAAAAGAAATGGTATTATAGGTTGAAATGAGTCAAGGGGAAAGATCTGGAAACATATATTTTTACTCCCACCCGCTGTTCACGAGAAAGGTGAATGCTGTGGTGCTTAAACCATAAAGTTCTTGCAACACGGGAGTATAACCCGGCCATGACAATCAGAGGAAGGACAACCACAAGCAACCAAGCCACGCTATAAACCTTTGACATCCACTCCTGTGGCCAATTCCATACGCAGAACTGCTTTTTGTCGTCGAAGGTTGCAATGAGAAACATGGGAGTATTGAATGCAACTGAGAAGATCCAAGAAACCAGGACGATCACCTGAAACTATATTTGATGAGCACGATTAAGATCATCTCTGCGAGAAGACGTAGTCAACCAAATTAAATTAACCGTTAAATACCATGAAAACATAAATACATTAATTTTCGTTTTGATCATTGATTTCTAAACCAGTTTTAGTTAGAGGAAGTTTCTTTGGTGAAGATTTTGTAATTAAAATTGGCGATTAAAAGGAACGAAGTTTCGATTTCTTGGAGGTCATTTTCAAGTTATTGTAGAATATTCAAAAATGAACGTATAAATATAATATTCTAAAACAAGTATTTTGTTATTCTAACTAATGACTTTAGCAAAGCTGTAAGAACGTGTACGCGGTTCATTCTATTTTTATTGATAAGTGTGCAATAACATTAACCTTTACGCACCTTGAACTTAAGCTTAGTAAAATTTCTCCTGTTACTAAAGGGATGCATCACAGCGTAATACCGCTCAATAGCAATTGCAACCAGACTGAAAATGGAGGAAACCGCTCCAATCCACGCAACATTGCCGCTTGTCACAAATTTGCACAGACCTGTAGCAGTCATGCCTTCTGGGTGGAAGGAAGTAATTAGTCTGAGAAGAACCGCGGGGGCAATAAATATGGCGAATATTATGTCTCCAACTGCCAAGTTCACGAGTAGATAATTTACGATATTTCTGTAGAAATGATAATAGAAAATACAGTTAATAGCGTGTACGGTACCTTTTGTAATTTTGCGAATTTTTAAATAATAGTATTTCCGTTCGCCCGGGAATGAACTTGATATCTATCTATGGTTAGCGATTAATTGCGTTTTTTTTGTCACTTAAACAACAAACTTATGTCCCACCCTTGGCGAGTGGGTGTTTATCGAATGAAAAATTATCGCAAAATGTCACTAACATCATAAATTGGTATTCATAACAACCTCATGTCTCGGTTTCTCTTTATGATCAAGCAGACAATAGAATTTCCCGCGACGTCTACGATAATTAGTGTGAAGAGTACTGTGCTTATGGCAATGTTAGCTGATTCAGTCATGCCTCTCGGAGACCTGGTTAAAAAAAAAAATAAGACATAATTCAATAAAATGACATTAAGCAATGAAAATGCGAGAAGATTTTAACAAAACATAAGCGTATGGTACATGCGTAACATAAAAACGAATAAACATCCCCACAACCTCTTAGTGCGATTTAATTTCTCCCACCGAAGCACCAGTTTCTTTAGAAACCTTTTTAGAACATAAAAACGAATAAACATCCCCACAACCTCTTAGTGCGATTTAATTTAAGCCAGAAGTACCTTTAGAACTCTCTCATATGAAACGATGGAGTTGCTGCGATAAACATAGATACGTGAGCATTGTCGATAAAACTTTATAGAATAAATGTCAAACACGTATCACTAAACCGAACCAGAGGAAAGTCGGAGCATGGTTTTTCAATAATTAAAATCCATGAGAATTTAACATAATATGACGAAAAAAAGTAAACCATAGGCTCTAATTAACACATGCGAAGGTGTCGATTTTAGACGCGTACGGGCACGTGACACTGAATAGAATCACGTTTGCCACGGTAGCGAACTTTAGACTTTGTAAACCTTAATCCGGTCTCGATGACTTACATTCTAATCTGCATGAAGATCTCACAGAAATATGGAAAAATATATCACATCTACAACAGCGGCTAATATATTTTCGCTTGAAAGGCAAACAGCAAACTTTCAGTTTATATTATTGTGCGTCACTTATGTAAACGAGGATGCCAATGTCCCTCAATTTTACAATACAGCGTTTTTATCTTCACCAGGCAAGGGCATTGTCATTTAAGTATCCTTACCTCAGGTTTTTCTTTTGTTTTTCAGCAAAAGCAGAGAGTTTCCTCAACTCCTACGATTAAACGACGTATTCAGACTAGTTTGCAGGTCTCAGTCTATATTCAGAAAGAGGTTACAACACCTTATTAACACTGATTCAGCAGGGGAATACGATTTGAAACATATGAGGTAGACAGTCGTCTTCTTTCCTCTGTACTAGCAAAGTTATACACGACTAAACCGAATTAACTTTTTGAATTTTGTCTTCGCCTCAGGATGAGTAGGAGGGTTCTAGAGATAATAAGAAACTATGTTTTGTAATCGGATATCAACACATTTGTGACAACTAATTTCCGATTTAACAATGCTAGTTGTGCGTGCTCTGGGATTTTTTTTTTTTATCTTTTTTTGTTAGTAACTCAGTGCTTTGTAAAATGATTAGAATCGTCTGATTTGATTAGAAATCGCTCAGAAGCAAATTATTACTGATCTATACAGTCTCTGTTCCAATTTTTTTTTTGGCTTTCCATGTTAGGACAGGTGTTTGAATTTATAAATACCGCAATTGACATGTTCCTTCACGAGGTTTCAGGTCCTTCTTCACAAATTTCTGATCCTAATCATTTTAAACAAAAAATTTTTTTCAAAAGCATATGATGCCGATTTTTTTCTTTTTCTTCCCTTTCAAAATGGCAAGAAATGTCCATGGATAGATTTGTAATATTAACCTTCATTAATTTTCTTCGCAGGCAAACTAGTCATCTAGTTTGAGTTGTCAGTGCAGTCTAATTGATATATTTACGTTTTAAAATGACACATGAACCGAACCTAATTATATTGGCGATGCGCCAATGTGTTAAAAATGTTCAGTTGCAACCGCAAATTGCGCTTTGAGACGACAATAACCGACGAAGACGGTAGATAGTTATAAAAGTATAAATATGATGAACAATTAGACTGCGCAAGGATATCCTCAAGTTGGCAATAATGGAAATGTATTTATTTTCTCTTTGCTTTTCTTTTCGTTTTTTTTTTCCTTTGCATGACATAGGTATCATGATACACTGATAGATTGACTGCTAATTAATTCCAAGGCACCAAAAACAGATATAATTTTAGCTATGCATGCCGTACTGGTGAGGCATCATGAGGCGGAAACAAATATCTATGGCTGCATGTACCTTATTGGTGGCATTAAAAATTTAACAGAGTGCCTGTCACTCCCCTCCTCATCTCAACACTGAAGTTGACGAGGTCTCCACGCTGTCATCACTATTGTACGCGACCTTTTGGTTTGTTTTTTTTTTTTCTCGGCCTATCATTTTTCTTTTCTCTCATTTTCGGGAAGGAAACGTAATAAAAAAGATTGCATTGACGAGAAGAAACTTGACAGTCACGAAGAGAATTTGCTCAATTTTCGTGAAGTGTACGTTGCCTAAAAAAAAAAAAAACACCTGCCAAGGGATTACTCAAAAACACTTCAAGTCGTGACGTTTTCACTTTACTTGGTGGTTCTCAAGAAGTTTCAGCATCAAGTACAGCGTGTGCAGCTGCCAAGGAAAACTTACTAATTTCAATAAAACGTTATTCTATTGCAGTATGTTATAGTGAACTTCATTTTAACAGGGATCGTGCGTGACATTGATGGACTGGTAGCCATTTTACCCTTGATATTATAGGTATAGGAAATCGCATGAGCGAAAGTACATTATATCTCTTCTTGCAATATAAATTACTACAGTGGACTTAATTTAACAAGGATCGTACGTGACAAGGATAGACCTGATGGCTCTGTGGCCCTCACAGAATTAAAAAAAATTATATAGGTAATCGCATGAACGAAGGTGCATTCTAACTCTTCTTGCAATATATTACAGTGGATCATTTTAACAGGGATCGCGCGTGACAGTGATAGACCTGATAGCTTCGTGGCTCTTAATATAAGTATAGGAAATCGCATGAGCAAAGGTGCATTCTAACTCTTCTTGCAATACATTACAATGGATACATTACAGTGTCGGGTTAGTCACACTGTTTGTCCCGCCCAGTTTCTGGGGCTCTGTTTCAGCGTAAATCCTGTTATTTGGGCGGCATGGGAAAGAGATAGTACCTTTGATCTTCTCCCTAAATCTCTGGTTGACCGGAGCGTATACAAGGGGATTGATGACAGAATAAAGCATTGTCATTATGGACGCTGCGGCATATGTTACATCGCCTAAGGAGTGACTGGGACTCAAAGAAGACGATCGAGTCTGAAAGCCAATAGACCCCGAAAATAATACTGACAAGGATCACCATCAAAGCGCTCGTTTGCGAACTTTCATCACTCCCTAAATACAGAGATCAGTCAAATTCAGTCCTAGTAGTATTTGCAGAGTGTTCGCAAAGGGATTATAAGACAAACACTCTCCATTTTGGTTATTGATGGACTCAAACGCTAAGGAATTATGTAAAATCTACCTTAATAAGTCATATTAGTGCTTACTTTGGATCATGGCTAGGAATATATTTACGCTTTAGATGTTAATTATGCATTGTGGAAGTGAGTGGAGGGATGTGAGTAGAGTATGTAAGCAGAGGGCAACGTTGAGTTTCTTTAATTCATTTCATTTTAGGCAAATTAAAAAAGCAAGCAGATAAATGACAGATTTTAATAAAATGGAGGTTCCCCTTCAATATAATTCTCTTTAAAGAATTTTGATACATCATTTTGCCAACCTGTTGCCAGTTGGTGTGATCGATAGGCGTTTGATCCACAATCTGTACACCACTCTGTCTGGAGGATAGTATAATCATTACTGACGCTGGGAAAACTCCAAGAGCAAACCACCAAGTTATAGCATAAGTATAATTATAGGCTGGATGATAAGTAGCTGAAGACTTCACCTCAGCAACACAAGGATCTAAGATCTTCCAATTTTGAAGCACTTACCTTGGAATATACTTCAACGATATGAGCTACGGTCTGTGTTGTTCCATCACGCGCCATAGTAACATGTACAAATAATGACAGTTCATTGGGATACTTATGTATCCTACCGTAGATTGGCTTTTTGCGCCTGTATTATTTAGATGTCAAACGATTTCAAATTTCATAAAAAAGGAAACCAATAGATACAGAGCAAACAAATTACTTTTGCTACATGATTACTCACACGATCAAAGTTTGCTTTATGACTTCAAGTTCGACTTGGATGTGTGTCAAAGAAAACAATTGTCAATTGTCGAACTGTCAATTCTAAATAAACCGAAGGACCTTAGCGTATTTTTTTGTGAATCGCACTTTCGTTTAAGGGATTCTTGTACTTCCAAATTCAGTAGTCGTTTGTAGTCATCTCACAAGTATGCCTTCGTTCTTTACATTCAGGCTACACTTACTTTACTCCCGCCGCAGTTTCTAACTCAGTATTCTCAATTCTCAGTATTCTCCCAACCAATTTTACATGAATGCGTTGTAAAGCAAAATTGTTTTTACTTTGTTGTTTTTTTATCCGGCTTTATGATCGTTTTGATTATTTGATATGTTTGGTTTACCTTGAGAATCTATAACGACCTTAGCCGAGTAAAAACGTGCTTTTCATAAATTCGATACAGGTGGCTGTATTTGAAGAGAGCGGAAGATGTAAAAGAGACTTCAAGATAACATCGTTTTTGAAACAAAGCATCGACACAAGTTATAGCGTTCGTTTTTTTCTAGCTTAGACGTGCTGGTGCACGGAAGACTAGTTTTAGCTGTTAATCATATCACATGTTATAGTATCCTCTATGCATTATTACCATTTCATATTGTTTGTCTCCAGCTCTTGGTCTGTGTTATTCAGTTTTTTTCTTGTAATTCAGAAAACTTGTGAGCAAAACAAAAAGCAGATACAGAATGAAACAGAGATGAAAATAGAGATGTAAATTGTAAATCCTCCTTATTTTCATTATTGCCCTCTAGTTAATCATTAATATAGAAAGCCTGCCGCAAGAGTGGATACAAACGTGAATTAGAGAGATCTTAGGTGAAGTCTTCTCAAAGTGAACGTACGATACATTGGATTTATTGAGAAGAGACTGCGAAATGTTCTATTGTCTTTTTTATCCGTTACAACTGCTGGTAGAGGCGAAAATTGTGAACAAAATGTCCTTCACTGTAGCAAAATATAAATTTCGCCTTAAAACGCTCTTTCGAGCTGAGTGTTATCCATGCATTGTATTAAATCCGACCGCGTAAACTGCTACCGTGGCCTGCTAATTAACTGCCAGAAAATAATATTGACAAATGAAGCAGTACAAGTGTTAACCGGCAATACAAGTAAATAGATAATAGCACACGTTCATTAAGTCAAGTGTTTATTATGAAATCTTTCCTTGCTAGGCTGAGAATATTGAAACATTACGAAGAATTCTCCAGTATGAAAATTTACCAGAAAATCAGCTTTGCCAAATAAATGCATTTGGGGCTGTTACCTTTTTTCTGTTTTAGAACTGAGAAGTGAATAAGCTGTCACCCAAGATGAAAAATTGATCATTACCCTGGCTGAAAAATTCTTTTTCAGGCTAATGTTTAGTGTACGGGCAATTTCCTCATCATTAACATCACTTTAGAACGAATTTCTCTAATTCGCCAACAGTAGACGAAAGGATTTATAGAAGAATTAAGAAAAATTACAAAAGATGTTAGATTTGTTGATAACACTACTGGGGAGCTATATCCCAACAATGCTACCCCAACTATGGCACAGAAATAAGGAGTGTAACATGCTACAAGAAATCCGAAAACTGTCAGCATACTGTTTACAGATTTACGGTACAGAATCATGTTAAAAGTCTTTCGAGGTTGCCTTGTGGCAGCCTCGTTTGTTACTCTTGTCTTTGAAGCCCTCAGAGTTTGATATATTCTAAAATAGCACGAAGACGTTATGACAATGGAGGAAAAGCCAAGAATAATAGCACTAATTTTATTGATTCGAATATTCCACATTCGGGAGACCGCCCAGATAGAGCTGCAAATCCACAGAAGTACTACAACCAAAGTGACTTTTTTCACGGTTGTAATCAGTCCGTATCGTATTCTGAGTCTCAACGCCAGATATCTTTCAATGCTTATTGCTGTCGTGGTTGAAAAAGACACGGCACAGAAGAAGTAAGCCACTACAGCATAAAACGGCTGAATCGAACAAAACAATTCAAAATTACCGTGGAGAGCCCCCAAAGCTGTCACAACTTGTAACGGTTGAGCGACCATACCAACTCCAAAATCAGACAGAGCTAAGCTGTAAAAAAGAGCTTTGGACGACGAAGAAATCGTGCGGCACTGGAAGAGGGCGAGTAAAATTATCGAATTTTCAACAGTTGCAGAAATTGAAAAAACCACATTCACAACGCACAAGAGCACGTACCAGTGACGAGGCGATGTGCGTATAAACTGGTACTCACGAAAATCTTGATCAGAGCAAGAAGTATTGTATACTTCCATTTAAAAACTGTTTGTAAAATTGCTTGATCGCCTTACGTCTCCGGAGAATTACTTAAAGTTTTAGAGGCTCAGAGAGATTGTCAGCTTATCCCCATAAAGATGTTGTACCTGATGTTTCGAGGTTTAATTAAAAGTCTATATACACCCATCGATGGTTTTTCCATGTCAACATGAACAAAGGAGATGTCAATGGCGCCAATCAGATTCAAGCTTTTGACTTTCAACTAAAAGGAAAATATTCATCAAGCCAGCGTTGTTTTATTTTCCTCTAGTGATCCGGAAAGAAATGAGTTAATTGGCGACAATGAAAACGAGGGGTATGTAATTGCGATTGTACTAAAGAGATGCACAAATTTTTGCGACTTCGCAAGTATGATTACTCTGTGAATTGCAAAATGCTGTACCTCTTGCTAAGTACCGTATGAATTAAGTCTAACTGTGTTCATGAGAAAATGAAAAAATGATTGTCAATCAATAAAATTATCGTACTTTTCTAAATTGCTCACGAAATGGCCCTATTTTTTTACAGCACGCGTAAAAGCCAGATCTGATTACGCTGTTCTGACGCATTTCATTGAAGATTCAATGTCGTTAGTTGTGCAGTAGTCGGCGGTTGGAGCCCAATTTCACAAATTGTGCTCAAACTCGCCAACCACTATTCTACTTACCATATTATGGTTATTATTTGATGAAATTATACTATAATAAAGACATAGAACTTCGAGAACCCAAGGATGTTTTCATTTCTCAGAAATTGACGAACTACTCACGCACAACGTCATTGAATAAACAGGAACTTGCTGACTCATCCATGGGACTTTCCTGAGGAAGTTGTTCGTAGCATTTATATAGTCCAGCTGGCATCGACCAAAAAAAAAATTCGTTCAAATTAATGATAAAAGCATGAAACTTTGCTACAACACTTATGACCCTAAGACTGACATTTTCTGATATGGGGCCGATTCAAAATAACTTCTGGAGACGAGAACCACGCATGGGAATTCTGTTATTGGTATGCTGGAAGCTTCATCTTTGAACTTACTAATTACTTCCTTGTTTGTTTTATCGAAATATCATGAGTATTCTGGATATTCGCTGTCGAATTTATTTTCATCGCTCCAGAGGTCTTTTTAAACGTCTTCGATTTCGATTTCATAAGTTAGACTGTCTGTATCAGTAAAGAGTAATTTTTCTTCGCTGTTGTGTTTGTTTTGATGTCATTTGCAATGGAAATCGTACATTAATGTTCTAGAAAGATCTAGAATGCTCATTCCTACGTGTAATGACACGAGGAACAACCAGGATAAGAAACTGAGACGTTGAGCCTTGCCGCAGTTTTACTCACAATTCAAGTTTTTTTTTTTTAATTATCTATATACACTCATCGATGGTTTTTGTTATGTCAACATGAACAAAGGAGATGTTAATGGCGCTAATCAGATTCAAGCTTTTGACTTTCGACTGAAAGGAAAATAAACATTAAGCCAGCGTTGTTTTATTTTACTTTGACGATCCGGATCACAATCGGAAAGAAGTAAGTTAATTGGCGACAATGAAAACAGGGGGATGTATAATTGTAATTGTGGGTGTTTTATTTACCACGCAGACACCTGTTTCTTTGGACTCGATGATTAAATGTGTGCGACTTCGCATGAATGTATATTCTGTGCATTACAAAACGCTGTACCTCTTGCTAAGTACCGTATGAATTAAGTCTGACTGTATTCATGAGAAAATGAAGAAAATGATCGTTAATTAAGAACTTTATTATACTTTTCTAAATTGCTCTCGTCATTGTCCTCTTTGTATTTTATAGGTCGAAATGACGTTTTCGTTAGTAGTACAGTAGTTGGCGGTTGGAGCCCAATTTCACAAGTTGTGTTCAAATTCGCCAACCACTATTCTACTTACCATATTATGGTTATTAATTGCTAAAATCATACTAAAATAAAGACAAAGAATTCGAGAAATCCAGGATGTTTTCATTTCTAAGGAATTGACGAACTACCCACGCATTGACGTCATTGAATGACAGGAACTTGATGCCTTACCAATAGAATTTTCCTGAGGAAATTGCTCGTGACATTTAAACAGTCCAGCTGTTATCAACCAAAAACACTAAACCGTTCAAATAAGTATAGGCAATCACATGATTTCGAGTCCAATTTTTAATCAATAAGCTCGAGTAAATTTTTTCAAAGACTGACAAAATTGTACGAGCTAGTAGGGCGAGTGCCATTTTGTGAAAAAATTCAACAGGTGCTTATTAATTCCAAATTGCTCGAGAAAAATCACGTGATTACGTATTAATGATATACATGAAAAAATGCGAGATAGCTTATCATAATTATGCAGAAGCAAAGCGCGCGCATCAACTGCAAAAATAATTTACTCAAAGCCTGCAAGTGACTTTGTGCGTTCGGTCAAAACAACCGCGTACGATCAAAACAATAATACACAATAATATTTTGACATCTTCAAGGCGCAAAAAAGTTCAAAGTCTGACTAAACAGTACAAGGAATTGTTCAGTCTGCGTCAGAATCACTTTCGATGAAATGGAATCATCGTTTCCGCGGTTTCACCATGTTTGTTTTTAATTTCAGCGTAGTATCGCTCGAACAGAGTGTTAAGCTGGGTCGGCTCGTAATTTTCGATTTCACTGGCAATTCCCTTCTCTGAACACCACTTTTTCCAAACCGAAAACCAAAGAGCAATGCTTTTTACAGTGGTTTCGTTGTTAGAGCTGTTTTTCAGCTGCTGTATTGTTGTTGAGGTAGCGAAATAAACCTAATTAAATGCCGGCCATTGTTTCGCTCGCAAATTTTCAGCGCATCCAAATGTTGCGACATCCAATGCCCGCACTCAATTGGCTATCTGTGAGTTTCTTTGTTTATTGACCAATCAGAATGTCTGGTTTGTTACATCTTTGCACTGAATTAACCCTCTTCTGCACTGAATTACCTGAAAACTGCATTTATCCTAACCAATCAGAATTGAGTGATTTTTTCATTATTAATGATAGAGGCATGAAACGTTTTACAACACTTATGACCCTACGACTAACATTTTTTCATATAGGTCCAATCCAAGTAAACTTCTGGAGACGAGAACCACACATGTCAGAAATTCACTAACATGGCTAAGAATGAAAATCCTCTTAAATGACAAATGCTTTCCAACATAGCCCCTGAGTCATTTTCTAACCATTTGTATTCATCTTATCCCATCATGAGACTATCTTTGATATTTATCACAATATTTGGGTACCCTGTGGTCAAATATCAATGATGAATGGTGTGTGAAATATAAGAAAACAATTGTAGCGATACGAAACAACATGGCTCTGAAGTCCCGCTCATGGGTCACAAAGCTTAAGTTTTAACATCAGGGCCGAGGAATCGTACAGCTTTCAAGATGGAACACTGTCTTTTATTCATTCATTCAGAATGTTCAGAGACATGTGTGTCCTTCTATTCACGCATCCAGGTTGTCAAAACTGTTCACAATGTTACAAAAATCGGTGAGGAACAGCACAATTCGTTTAATTGTCAATCAGCGGTTCGTCGAGAGAAGCAAGCCTGTTATACAACCTCTCAAGAAGTAAACTTTTCAACCTTGCCAGACTCAGAGCTTCTGCTAAAACAAGGGAAATCTGTGTAAGGGAGTTATTCTTTGCCGATGATTCTGCCCTTGTTGCAACAAATCCTACTGTCATCCAAGAAATTGCAGACAGGCTCTCCTGTGCCGCTCGCCACTTTGGCATGAAAATAAATGTGTCTAAAACAGGACTGCTCTATCAACCGGTCATGTGTGTCGTATGTCTGACAACAGAATCCCCAAATATGTGTTTTATGGAGAATTCAGCTCTGGAGGGAGAAAACGCGGTGGAAAAAACTGCGCTTCAAAGATGCATTGAAGAGACACATGAAGAATGAGGGAGGAAGAAGCAATGGACAGATAGATGGTCAATGGTCCATTAAAGCATTGCCGCTGTCGAACAGGATCGTTTCAAGAAATATCAGGCAGCTCACCACAGGAGGCTCACACCAACAACTGATGGTCTTAAATGCAACCGTTGCACGCTGGATTTGTAGCGCATCAACGCTCCCGCAGCACGTAACCGTTTCTCAGTCAACATCGCCTGCAGTGGACTGCCGCTGCCGATGAAATAGCGTGTCAATTCATGATGGAAACTTGAAAGACTTCTTCAAGTATGAGAACCAACCATGGCCGCCATCACTTTTGCATCTTGGACAGCTTAGAGGAGGACAGAAGGCAGACTTGGTGAAGTGTTTGCCCAGCGCATCAGCACAGATCGCAACTCAACCAGTAGCTGATGCAGTTATTCTTGATGGAGCTGTTGATGTGCATATGCTACAGCCAAGAACAGCTTGCACCTTTGATTAATAGTCACGTAATGGTATAAGATGAATACGAATGGATAGAAAATGACTCAGTGGTTATGTTTGAAAGCTTTTGTCGCAAATTTCCCCAAGCAATGTCTTTTAAGAGGATTATTTTTTCCTAGCCTTGTTGTCATGTTAGCCAATTTCTGCCATGCCTGGCTCTCGTCTCCAGAAGTTAATTTGGATCGGCCCTGTATCAGGAAATGTTAGTCTCATGGTAATAAGTGTTGTGGCAAAGATTCAGGCTTTTATCGTTAATTTGAACAGTTTTGGTCGATAACCTTTAGACTAAAAAGGAAGTGGGAGAGTATAGCAGGTAATTTAGTGTTAACAAATGATTTGAAAACGTAAATTGGCCACCGTAATGAGTTAAAAGGCAGACGTCTCGACCGTTAGCTTCTCTTCTCATTAATATTCCGGTTGTCAAGTGGTGTTCCCTCATAGGTCCTCATTGATCGGCTGTTGTGTTGTTTGATCGTGGGTATCCAAGCTACGGGAATTGATCTCCCTGTTTCACCGATATACACTTTGTCGCATTCGCATGGGATCTTTTAAACGGCACCGTCTCCATTTGTTGGTACCAGGGCGTCTTTAGGTCGTACTAAGTCAGACCTAAGTGTTGTGTCAGACTTGAAAACGGTCCATATGCCTTGATGTTGTGGGCAGCTGCGAAAAACCTCTGATACACCATTTGTGTTAGGGAGAACGGCAATAGATTCATTTTCCTGCGCGGGTTCTTTGCTGGCTGTTACCCTTGCTGTCTTTACGAGTTTTCGTACAAATGAAGAAGGATAACCATTAGAAACAAGTACAGATGACAAGTGTATCTTTTTCTCAGAAATAACTGACGCTTTCGTTGTGAGGTGTTTGGCACGGTCATATAGACACTTAACAGTAACACGCTTTACTGACTGAGGGTGGTGTGAATCATAGGCTAGGTACTGGTTAGTGTGGGTGGGCTTTCTGTAGACAGTAGTAGTGACAAGACCGTCTGAGTCCCTTGTAACTGTTATGTCGAGAAAAGGAATGGTGTTATCTCTCTCGGTTTCCATGGTAAAACGAATAGTAGACTGTTGACAGTTTAGATGTTGTAAAAAGTCGTCGACATGGTCCCGGTCTAACACTGGGAAAGTGTCATCTACATATCGTTTCCAGATCTTAGGTTTGCAAGTCGCATTTGTTATCGCCTGTTCCTCAAATTCTTCCATGTTAGCTATAACTGCGGAAAAAAGCAGGGCTTCCCATAGCTGTTCCGTCTTGCTGTTCATAAATCGACCCGTTGTATTGGAAATATGTCGATCTTCAGACGAAATTCAAATGGTGGGCAATTTGTGTGGGTGTTAAGTTTGTACGGTGAGCAAGATCGTCGTCGTTCTCTACTTCTCGCAATGCAGGTTGAACTGCACCCTCGATAGTGCATTTTTAAACAAAGATTCCACGTCAAAAGGTACCATGAGCCCGTTATCGTGTACTTTCTCATGACTGATAGTTGACACGAAGTGCATAGAGTTAATAACTGAGTAGTCTGACTTGCCTGTCAAGGGGGACAGGATATTGGCTATGAAGACGCACAGTATTGCAGTCGAAACGTCGCGATCAACATCCAAAGTGACTCCATCGTGAGACAAACGAATAAAGTTTATCTACTATCCTGCACCACGATGAACAATAAACACATATTTTATTAAAAAGAAAGTCGTTTGCCAGCTGTTTTTAAAAGTAAATTTTACTCTTAAACTTTACCAAAGGTCAAATTGACCAGCAAATAGACTATAGGTGTTCTAGAAATAAAAGAGATTCTTTATCTTACTTTAAAGTTTCAAATTCATCTCTGTCTCTTAATTTCACATGTCACAAATTATATTTTCAAATCCCAAAATAAAACAACGGAACCTAACATATCTTCCATCTTTTCAAACAGATATAGAAACTGTTTTGCAGTTGGTTTTAACAGCGCTTAGAACTAATGCCTCTCTTACAATTCTGATATATATTCGATCCTTCAGAGGTAATTTATAATCAAGATAAACGTATATTGGATATCAGCACTTCCTCTAATAGTGATTCCCTTCTTCGAGACTTGATAGCAATAAAGAGATGAAACAAACAAGCTGAGAAGACGGCTTTTATGTTTAACTCGAGAAAAATATACTTGTAAGTTATCAATAATATACAAACAGAAGTTGTTTGAAGCGTTTTTTCTTTCTCGTTCGCTGCTTCAATCGTCTAAAACACATGTAACAGGATCTACCCAGGGTAATAAAACACAGCTTGGTCTCTAAGATGTTCGATTGATCGCAAAGAAATGCATTTCAAAGAAAATTGCTGTAAGTTCGAAGGAGAGAAAAGAAGCTCAAACTCCTCCTTACTGACTCATTTCATTTCTTGGTTTTTAATCAGAACAACACAAACCAGAGTTTTTCCCACGATATCTGTGATTACCAGCTCAGAAAACATCAAAGCGATCACGGTCTGGGCTGAATCGGTCAACATGATGGATTTTTCTTCTCTTTGCCGCTGCAATTTTCACCAAAACGTCATTGTCCTACGGGCATAAAATTCATGCTTTTGGATGTTAAGTTCCAAAAAGAAAAATTGTAATTACAATTTGCAATCTACGTACTTCAATTTGTAGGAACAAACCGTTACTTATGGTTTAAAGACTTGATTGTAAACAGACGTCCAAAATATACCACAAACATAAAATGTAACTTTGAATTGCACTTTACCTTATCGTCCAAGTAGGTCCTTACTCAGGATTTACGAATTCAATACATTTATGACAACGTCGCGTATCTCGGAAGATTGGAAATAATTGATTTAATAGCTACGCACTTCAACAAGCTGTAAATATAGCGATTGTCAGCGTAAAACCTTTTCACAATGACGCCATGGAAAATTATAATCTCAATACACGAAATCTCTTGACCAATGAGAATTGCGTTGATATATCTCTACTCTTTTATGTAGACCTGATAGTATTTAATATAATTTTTAATGGCAAACTCTTTGCTTTCAAGAAAATGCAGTGCCAGGGGTTTAATTGACTCAGAATGTTTTTATTCAGAATTTCAAATACTAGAATGGCATCTCTGGATTTTTATATTGCAAAATTAGCGTCTAGTTGGAATTTTAAAATCTAGCTGAACGGTCTAACAGTATATAATAACAAAATAATTTTCTTTAAATAATTTTGATGAGTCATTTTTCCAACCTGTTGCGAGTTGGTCTGTAAGTCAAATTCATACAAAAAATACCCCTGCTTCTTATCTGACCGCCGGTAAACGGTAAACTTGGTACTATCAGTCTAATGGCAATCTTCATGTGTCAAAGAAAATTAGATAATCCACATCCTGTAAAAATTGAGATGGATTCTTCTCTGCCAAAATTATCAGTCAAGCACATTTATCACAAGAAACGAGCTGTCAGTTCTAAACAGACCAAAGAACCTTGGCGCATGTTTTTGTGAATCGCACCTCATTTTGGGGATTCTTTAGTCGCGCACTTCCAACGTCAGGAGTCGTTTGTAATCGTCTCACAAGTATGCCTTCGTTCTTTACATTCAGGCTACTCGCACTTTTCTCCCACCGCAGTTTCTAACTCAGTATTCGCTTCATCTAAACCCTCCCAACCGATTTTACATGAATACGTTGTAAAGCAAAACTGTTTTTTATTATGTTGTTTATTTATTCAGTCTTATAATCGTTTTATTTATTTGATATATTTGGTTTACCTTGAGAATCTAATGACCTTAACCGAGTAAAAACGTGCTTTTCATAAGTTCCATACAGGTGGCGTATTTTAGGAGAGCACAAGGTGTAAAAGAGACTTAAATACAAAATCGTTTTTGAAAAAAAACATCGACACAAGTGATAGCGTTCGTTTTTTCCGGGTTAGACGTGCAGGTGAACGGAAGACTAGTTTTAGCTGTTAACTAGGTCTGTGTTACTGGACATGGACTTGATTCAGTGTTTTATTGTAGGTTTATCCTGGTTCCATGGCGTGTAATCTTATTCCGGATCTCCTGGTTCCACAGAATCTCGGATAATTTTAAGAGTAACTCCGTGTCGGCTCAGAGGCTGAATATCTCCCTGAATGGTCGAAGCATTAATCCCTGAATTTTTTCTCGAGGTATCGTTGCCTCTTCCCATGGCATGAACTCTGTTTCTGTCAGCACCACTACCATGGCAACTCAACAAAGCCTTAATATGCTTCCTGAAGCGACTGTTCACATAGGCGTAAATAAAGGGATTAACCGTTGAGTTACACACCACTAAAACAATGGAAATGACATCAGCTGCGTCACCAAGGCTATGCTTGGAGCCGAAGTGTATCATGGCATAGATGACGAGGTCTGGAGTCCAACAGAGTCCGTAAATGATGCTAACTGCAACAACCATTTTTGTGACGTGCTTACGCACTCTCATGACACCCTAAAGCAAAAAATTGCAAAACATCATTTCAAATTCAATTGATGCTTTGATTTTGACAATAGGATCCAGTTTCACTTTGAGGAGCTTCTGGGAAGATTACTTGCTCCGCAACTTTTCGCGAAGTACTCGTGTTTTTCCTTTATCTTCCCTCATCAAGTAAGCAGGGCCAATTTTTAAATAGCACTTGATTTAAAAATCTTATGACCTTGGTCTATTGAATCTAGTTCGTCGGAAAAACAGAAAAAAAAACATTTTGTTCAAGTAACTTCACTCACAGACCTGCTTTGAGTAATGACATTTGGAGAAATGCTTGATACGGTATTAGTACAATGCGATGTATTTTAGTTACCTTTTGAGTTCCACTAACACGATCATCGTCTTTGATCCACAGAGAATAGACAACTTTAGAGTACAGGCCTATCATGATCAACATCGGCAGAGCTCCAAGCAGCACAAACCAAGCTACACTAAAAGCCTTGGGCATCCATTCCTCGGGCCATTGCTCCGTACAAAACTCGTTTTCTTTATCGAAGTAAGACGTCAAAAAGAGAGGTGTGTTTAAAATCAAAACAGAAATCCAAAGAACAGGGATTATAACCTGTAGAAAGGTTTCAAACCAAGCTTTATTAAGTGTTTTACAGTGATAGCACCGGCAACTTGTGCTTTTTTACTACTTGTCGGACACCAAAACTCTTGCAACGACAGGTGGTTTACTGCCACTTAATAAGAGTTATGAAAATAGTACTTGTCTTGAATATTTCTCACCTTATTTAGGCTCTGACATGAAAAACAAAATCTGCTCTTTTTACTGAGACAAATCTAGGAGCTCTGAGGTCCATAGGAGCAGATCCAGGAATATTTTAAGGGGAGGTGGGCCACCTCCCTTAAAAATATTCTTGGATCTGCTCTTGTTTTTTTGAAGAATATCAACTTTCTCTTTTTTTGCTCAAGAAACATGGCGCTAAATAATTATGGGCGCTAACTGATTGATTTTGAGCCTCTTATCAGACAAACAACGGATCAAACAGAGTTCGAAGACCTCTATGACTAGGTGCAAAGTTCTATATCGTCAATCGTTTCGTCATTAGCTGCAAGAGTGATAGCGGAAATTAAGTTTAGTTTTTCCTACGCCTTTTTGAGTGGCTTGGCTCTTTCTTTGTTTTATTTGAACATTGAACACAAAGAAACAGAGTAAACGGATTTGAATTTGTCTTCCTTTTCAAAACAGTAATCTGAAAGCTGAAGTTTTTTCTTGGTGCAGCAAATGAATCGCTCTTAATTATATAGGTTTTCTTAAACAGAAAACAGCATACTCACCTTAAGTTTTCTATGTGTGAGTTTCCTTGTGTTACTGTAAGGGGGCATTACAGCAAAGTAACGCTCAAATGCAACAGCGACCAGACTAAATGCAGATGCAGTTGCTCCTGTCTACATCAAGTTTCCCCCGGTCAAGAATTTACACAGGAATGATCCTACAACTCCTTCAGGATGCTGGAAAGTGTGGATCAGAACAAACTGTGGCGCTATAAACAGCGCTACCATGATATCAGCAAAAGCCAAATTGACCAGCAAATAGTTTATAGGTGTCCTAGAAATAAAGGTGTGTTTTTAATCTTACTTCAAAGTTTCAAGTTCCTCTCTGTCTCTAAACTTCACATGTCACAAATTACATTTTCAAATCCCAAAATAAAACAACGGAACACAACATATCTTCCATCTTTTCAAAGAGATATAGAGACTATTTTACAGTTGGTTTTAAAAGTGTTTAGAACAAATGCCTCTCTTACAATACAGATATATATTTGATCCTTCAGAGGTAATTTATGATCAAGATAAACGTATATTGGATTCCCTACTTCGAGACTTGATAACAATAAAGAGATGAAACAAACAAGCTGAGAAGACGGCTTTTATGTTAAACTCGAGCGTAAATATATTTGTAGGTTATCAATAGTACACAGACTGAAGTTGTTTGAAATGTTTTTTTCTTACTCGTTCACTGCTTCAATGTTCTAAAACACATTTAACAGGATCTACCAAGGGTAATGAAAAACAGCTAGGTCTCTAAGAAGTTCGATTGATCGCAAAGAAACGCATTCAAAGAAAATTGCTGTAAGTTCGAAGGAGTGAGAAAGAGCTGAAACTTCCTCGTACTGACTCACCTCATGTCTTGGTTTTTAATCAGAACAACACAAACCAGAGTGTTCCCGACGATATCTGTGATTATCAGCACAGTAAACACCACAGCGATCACAGTCTGGGCTGAATCGGTCAACATGATGGATTTTCCTTCTCTTTTCGGCTGCAATTTTCACCAAAACGTCAATATCCTACGGGCATAAAATTCATGCTTTTGGACATTAAGTTCCAGAAAGAAAACTTGTGATTGCAATTTGCAATTTCCTTACTTCAAATTGTTGGAACAAACCGTTACTTCTGGTTAAAAGACTTGATTGTAAACAGACGTCCAAAATATACCACAAACATAAAATGTAATTTTGAATTGCACTTTACCCTATCGTCCAAGTAGGTCCTTACTCAGGATTTACGAATTCAATACATTTATCACAACATCACGTATCTCGGATGATCGGAAATAATTGATTTACTAGCTACGCACTTCAACAAGCTGTAAATTTAGTGATTGTCAGAGTAAAACCCTATTCATAATGAACGCCATGGAAAATTATCATCTTAATCCACATAATAGGCGTCATATCCCTTTCGAAATCTCTAGACCAATTAGAGTTGCGTTGATATATCTCCACTCCTTTATGCAGACCTAACAGTACTTAATGTAATTTTGAATGGAAAACTCTTTGTTTTCAAGAAAATGCAGTGCCAAGGGCTTTATTGACTCAGAATATTTTAATAACAAAATAATTTTCTTTAAAGAATTTTGATGAATCATTTTTCCAACTTGTTGCAAGTTGGTTTGTTCAAGAGGAGTATTTTGTATGGACCACAAGGTATACATCACTCTGTCTCGAGGATAGTATAACCATAACTGACACTGGGAAAACTCCAAAAACAAACTACCAAGATATAGCATAAGTATTGGCATAAGTATAGGCTGGATGATAAGTAACTGAAGTCTACACCTCAGCAACGCGAGAGGATGTAAATGCTTTATAAATTTTGAAGCACTAATAGTCTGTGCTGTTCCATCACGCGCCAGGGTAACCAAAGTCTGCCCAAGCTACAGCTGTGAGATGATCATCTTACGAAATAACAGTCATGGCGAAATTATAAGAGTTTGTATGGGAATATTTACGACCGCTCTAAGGAATAAAAAAATATGTCAAATTCCCACAAAAAATACCTCACCTTAATTCCACAGTGCATTGCTTTACCGCTTAAAACGTGGAAGGGAAACCATTTTAGCGGGTTATCTCATTCGAGGTTTTCTACGGTATCTTTTGTGAGAATTTGACTTATTTTTTAATCCCTTAAGGCAGTCGTAAATATTCCCATACAAACTCATATAATTTCGCCATGACTGTTATTTCGTAAGATAATCATCTCACAGCTGGAGCTTGAGCCGCCTGAGCCGACAGTTCATTAGGATACGTATGTTTCCTACCGTTGATTAGCTTTTTGCACCTGTATTATTTCGATATCACACGATTTCAAATTTCGTAAAAAAAAAAAGGAAACCAATAGATACAGAGCAGGGATATTACTTTTGCTACATGATTACTCACACGATCAAAGTTTGCTTTACGACTTCAAGTTCGACTTGTACATCGGTAAACTCGCACCATCAGTCTACTGGTAATCTTCATGTGTCAAAGAAAACAAGATCCTCCACATCCTGCAAAAATTTAGATGGATTCTTCTCCGCCAAAACTATCAGCCAGACACATTTATTACGAAAAAGCAAAAAAAGAACTGTCAATTCTACATACACCGAAGGACTTTAGCGAATTTTTGGTGAATCGGACTTTCGCTCGGGGGATTCTTTACACGTGTACTTCCAACTTCAATAGTCGTTTGCAATCATCTCACAAGTATGCCTTCGTTATTTACCTTCAGGCTACTAATATTTTTCTATCGCCACAGTTTCTAAGTTAGTATTCTCTTCATCTAAGCCCTCCAAACCGATTTTACATGAATACGTTGTAAAGCAAAATTGTTTTTTATTATGTTTTTTATTTATCCAGTTTTATAATCGTTTTGATTATTTGATATGTTTGGTTTACCTTGAGAATCTAATGACCTTAGGCGAATAAAAACGTGCTTTCATAAGTTCGGTACAGGTGGCTGTATTTGAAGAGAGCGGAAGGTGTAAAAGAGACTTCAATACAACATCGTTTTTGAAACAAAGCATCGACACAAGCTATAGCGTTCGTTTTTTTCTAGCTTAGACGTGCAGGTGCACGGAAGACGAGTTTTAGCTGTTTATCAATCACATGTTACAGTATCCTCTATGCATCATTACCATTTCATATTGTTTGTCTCCAGCTCTTGGTCTGTTATTCAGTTTTTTCTTGTCATTCAGAAAACTTGTGAGCAAAATACAAAGCACATACGGAATGAAACAGAGATGAAAACAGAGATATAAGTTGTAAATCCTCCTGATTTTCCATTATTGCCCTCCAATTAATCAATGTCTACTCAATGACTCATCCATGGAACTTTCCCGAGGAAGTTGCTCGTCACATTTAAGAGCTGATGTCACATGCATTAGACAAACAAAGGCAAGTCACCCAAAATTTGCTTTCACTCCTACTTTCAAATTTTGTAACCCGATATGTTCTTATAACTGTGGTGTAGTTTTTTCGTGATAATATATTTTAGTTTTCGAAAAATGACTTTTTTTCGTTCGACCGCTCAAATATGCAAATTTTCACCGTGAATATTTCTCGAGTTGTGTGACGTCATGTAACGAATATAATTGACCTCTGGTATTTCTGACACCATAACCCTTTGTTTTTTCATCTAAACTTAATCCCTTGACATTATTGAACCTGGCAAAGTAAGATTTATTTTTTGGTGAATATTTTTGTCCAACGTACTTTTCCTATGTCGAATAGTAGCATCAAAACAAAGACAATTTTTAGCAATGACCGATATGACAGAATCTATTGAGCTTCAAGCTTTTAAAAGACAAAAGGATGGGTATAAAGTTATTGTAAAAATTTCATTATGCATTTGTGTTGTTCTATCTTGAGACGAACTCAAAGTCCGGCAAAATTTACTTGCTAGCGACTATGAGATAAACATAGTGTGCCTACTTGTCGCCACCGTTTACTGGCATAAATCACTACAGTTTGTAGAATTTAATTTCATCATTTAAAACCACCGGTTGGAAGATACTGACTCACAGCCCAACCATAGAGATTATTAGCGTCCAAATACATGACATACATTGACGATGTCCTCTCATCGAAGTTTTTCATGTATTTATAGTTTGCTTTCCATATCTGTCAAAAAATATATGAGATGCCGCCTGGCATCAGTTCGAATTTAATATCAGTCATTTTTAACATAGCATCTCAAGACAGCCCAGGAGATGTAAAATAATGACATGGATCAATATTATAATATCGCGAGCAGGCCGTCCTGAAATTCTCAAATGCATCAGCGAGTAAGAGAATATCAGATTTCAGATAAAGATCATGATATTGACCCATTGTCTTGAGATTAAATCTCTGCCATACATTTTGAGCATGTTTGTATTGCTCATCAGATATGAACTCATCTTAAAGAATGCTGAAAAAAATCATTTTTTCCTGGTAGTTTTTCATCAAACTTTTCAAAACTATTCATATGGTTAAACACCTTTTTGCTTCATAAGTTTGAATTTTTCATCTTTTAAGAATTTTGATGTGTACTTGAATGCTTCATCAGGGAGACTGCTTGCTAATCTATCAAGACTTGAGCTCATGAACTGGAAGCTATCAAGAATAATGGAATACTCGCCCGGCATGAAGGCCGTGTATTTTTGCATATTATTTGGAATTGCCTTAATGTCCATCTGTTTGCCTTCACCTTTTTTTTCTTGTATGTAAATTTTTTTGCTACTTCACCAACCTCCCGCATAATAAAATGACTGTCATAAACTCTTAAACTTTGGAAGATAACTGGTATTTTTATTTCATCAACCCATTGAACAGAATGCCTATTGTTCTCGCGACATTTACCTGCAGTGGCGAAAATATCATAGATCTGTAATATTGGCGGCAAAGCGTAAACGGGAAGGCTCTTATCGGCCGAAGATAACTCGCGCTTTCCTCCTGCCTTAGTTCATCAACGGGTCAATGTGAAGCTAAGAAACAACGGTCTCGTAACTTATTGTTTCAGCTCTTGTTTCTGATATCACACTTAGCGCGCGCATATTTGAACCTGGCTATTTCGAGCGT